TTTTAAATTAAAGATTCTCAAACTTTGCGTTTCTCTATCTCAAAGAATCGTGTAAACATTATAAGTTGTGTTAATTTGAAAAATAACTAACTAAACAAGTTTACTAGTGACAGAAAGTTTAGAATCATCTCTCCCAACCTATGCTTGTAGCAGTGGCACAACAGGTACTCATGTACAAATGGCCTTCACAGGGAGGGAGAAGTTGGCATTGTCCGGTCTGAGCGTGCCAGCGTTTGCACTGTGCGGTTACTTTAGTGTCCAGGCCTTAGCTGAGTGGTTTTGGCCGTGCCGGTGTGTGTCCATGCACAGAGGCCCTCAGCTGAACCATGGGATGTATCTACTTACTCCCTTTATTTAATTTCCATTCTTCCACATGATTACAGAAGAAGTCTGTTTTCTTTAATAAGATTTTCCATAGCTGCATAGTCATTTTTTGTTTCGTAACCACCACTCTGTTTTTCATCCTTTCTTATTTTAGTTATTATCTTGACTTCTAAATTACTCTGTAGAATACTAGATACACAAAAAGAACTTTTGTAAAGAGCATTTCTTAATGTCCTGAAATTGGAACTCAGTGGAAAAGTGCAAACATTAAGGAAAGTGGTGACACAGGCCATGCAGCATTCACCTCCCAGGTACTAGTCATGTCAGGGTTTCTGGGCTCTCCCTCGTATGTATTGGGGGGGTCCCTCTCTCGGAGCAAGCTTCTGCTGTCCATCCTGGATCCAGGCAGCTTGTCCTGTGCAGAAATGACCTGTGGAGATCTTGGGGTCTACACTGTTCACAGGAAGATTATGGGAATCCTCACCTCACTGCTCACTGGGCACACGTTTCTGTGAAGATCAGCCATTTACTCGGCTCCGGTTTCATTTCCTGGTGCTCTTCGGCACTGGCCCCAGAGAAACTCTTTTTTCTTTTCTTTATTATTGAGGGTATTACAGATGCCCCCCATTATTCCCCTCCATTGAGATACGTCCCACCTCAGGCCTTCACCATCCTGTTGTCTGTGTCCGTGGGTTATGCATACATGCATATAAGTTCTTTGATTAATCTCTTCTTGCCCTCTCCTCCCCCCTTTCCTCTGAAATTCTCCAGTCCGTTTTATGTTTCCATGCCTCTGGTTCTATTTTACTGATCAGGTGATTTTGTTCATTAGATTTTTTATTCATTTATTTTGATTTTTAGATTCAATTGTTGATAGATATGTATTTATTGCCATTTTATTGTTCATATTTTTTCTTCTTTTTAAAGAAGACACTTTTAACATTTCATGTAACACTGGTTTGGTGGTGACGAATTCCTTTAGCTTTTTCTTATCTGTGAAGCTCTTTATCTGACCTTCAATTCTAAATGATGGCTTTGCTGGGTAGAGTAATCTTGATTGTAGGTCTTTGCTTTTTGTCACTTTGAATATTTCCTGCCACTCCCTTCTGGCCTGCAAAGTTTCTGTTGAGAAATCAGCTGACAGTTGGATGGGCAACTTGTAGGTAATTCACTGCTTTTCTCTTGATGCCTTTAAGATTCTGTCTTTTTTTTTTAACTCTTGCATTTTAATTATGTTGTATCTTGGCCTTTTGGGTTCCTCTTGTTTGGGACTTGTATGTCTTCCTGGACTTGTATGTCTATTTCTTTCACCAGGTAAGAGAATTTTTCTGTCATTACTTTTTCAAATAGGTTTTCAATTTCTTGCTCCCTCTCTTCTCGTTCTGGTACCCCTATGAACAAATGTTGGTATGCTTGAAATTGTCCCAGAAGTTCCTTATACTATCTTCATATTCTCGGATTATTTTTTCTTTTTGCTGTGCTGGTTGGGTGTTTTTTGCTTCCTCATATTCCAAATCACTGATTTGATTCTTGGCACCCTCTACTTTATTGTTGCTCCCTTGTAAATTATTCTTCATTTCAGTTAATGTATCCTTCATTTCTATCTGGTCCTTTTCATGCCGTTGATATTCTCTGTAAGTTCCTTGAAGTTGTCACTAAGTACCTTGAAGATCTCATTAAGTTCCTTGAGCATCCTTATAACCATTGTTTTTAACTCTGTATCTGGTACTTTGCTTGCTATCATTTTATTTAATTTTTTTCTGGAGATTTCTGTTCTTTCATTTGCAACATGTTTCTCTGTCTCCCCATTTTGGATGCTTCCCTGTGTTTGTTTCTGTGTATTGGGTAGAGCTGCTATGTCTCCTGGAATTGGTAGTGGCCTTGTGTAGTAGGTGTCCTGTAGGACCCAGTGGCTCAGTCTCCCCAGTAACTGGAGCTGGGCATTCTAAGTGCAGCCCTCTGTGGGCTGTATGCCCTGTCCTGTTGTAGTTGAGCCTTGCTTGCTGTTGGCATCACTGGGAGGGATTGTCCCCCAGGCCAATTGGCTGTGCAGACCTTCTGCAGCTATAGCAGAAGAGTTGCTGTGCAGGAGACGCCCCCATGGAGCAGGACTTGCTTCAGTGGGGCTTTGGTGTTCTTGGAGTCTTCCCTTGACTGTGTCACTCGTGGATGTGGCAGGGTTGTAATCTGGCATTGTCTGAAGCTGACCATAGGATGCACTGGCTCTGGAGCCTCAAGAGAGGTACAAAGTCAGCCACTGCCTATACCTTGCCTGGGGCCATAAGCTATAGAGAGACCTGCAGATGGTTGCTACTGTATTGGGCTTGGAGGTGTCCAGGAGAGGCCAAGTTGTGAACCAGGGTGGGCTTCTGCTAGTTACAGGCCTAGGGCCTCTTATTGGGAGGTATGGGGCACGCTGAGGCCAACTGATCTTTATTTCGGAGGTTTTAGAAAAGTCTGAAGCCTGAGCTAGGACAGGTTATTCATATGGAAAGACCACTGCCAACAACTTGGGTGGGGCTGCAAACTGGGTAGAGTGGGATCTCAAGGAGTCACCAGGGCCCGGCAAACCGTGTGAGCCAGGTTAATGGAAACTCAGTTATGGCACCTGCCAGTCGGCTCTCTGGCTTTAGGGAATTCCAAACACTTTTGTCTGGGAAAAGCTGCCTCCAAGTTCTTGCTCTGGTGCCACACAATTCAGTTCTTCCCCATATCCCCCTGGATCCTTTCAAGATGCACTGGAGCTCAGAAGGAATTAGTCCAAATAAGTCTGTGCATGGGCCCTTTAAGAGGAACTGACTGGAACTCCCACAGACCCCATGTCACTCAGCCACAATCCCCACTAGTTTTTACAGCCTCAAGTTATGGGGACTTCTCTTCCGGCACTGGAACCCTGGCCTGAGGAGTTTGGTGTGGAGCTGGGACCCCTTGTTCCTCATGTAGACCTCCACAGCCAAGATATTTCTCCAGATTAAAAACAGGCCACTCATGCCGAAACCGGTTTGGCTCAGTGGATAGAGCGTCAGACTGAAGGGTCCCGGGTTCGATTCTGGTCAAGGACATGTACCTTGGTTGCGGGCACATCCCCAGTAGGAAATGTGCAATAGGCAGCTGTTCGATGTTTCTGTCTCATTGATGTTTCTAACTATCTCTCTCCCTTCCTCTCTATAAAAAAATCAATAAAATATATATCATAAAAAAAACAAAACAGGCCACTCATGGGTATTGGATCAGCCCATTTTGCATCTCCACCCTTCCTACCCGTCTCTACTTTAATTCTTTAGTTGCAGGACTTCCAGTCAGCCAGATTTCAGGCAGTTCTAAATGATGGATGTTCTTTTGTTTAGTTGTGATTTTGACATAGTTGCAGGAAGATGTGAATGCTGCATTTACCTACGCGGCCATCTTGACCGAAAGCCTTAGTATCTGAAACTCTCTTTAGGTCTTCTTGTTAACCACCAGAACTCAGGTCTTTCCCACCCAGGCCCCACGCATCCCGCTCACTCCCCAGGGAACAGCCACGCAGAGGCACAACTGAACTATGGCTAAAGAACAGTGCTTCTCAGCCTTCCTAATGCCGCGACCTTTAATACAGCTCCTCATGTTGTGGTGACCCCCTCAACCGTGAAGTTATTTTCGTTGCTACCTCATCACTGTAATTTTGCTGCTGTTGATGAATCGTAATGTGAATATCTGTGTTTTCCGATGGTCTGAGGCTCTACAGCAGCGGTTCTCGACCTGTGGGTCGAACCACTAGCAGGGTCGCCTAGGACAACGTGAGGAACTGTATTAAAGGGTCGCGGCATTAGAAAGGCTGAGCACCATGCTGTAGAGCTTCCCCGGGCCAGTTGCCCTTCCTCAGGGATGCCTTCTAGGACAGGGTTCCGAGAGAAATCTGTGCAAGCCCACCTCACCCCCACCCACACCCAGCCAGGCATCATCAGCCCTGGAAACCAGGGAGCTCGTGGCATTATTCCTGTCTCCCTGCTCTCCCGGAGCCATCATTAGCACAGAACTAGGAGAGCACTTTCTAAATCCTCCATCAGCTCCTAGCTCCCCAGGCAGAGTCTAAACGCAGCCCACCTTCCCCGCCTCTGAGCCTGTGCTGCATCTTCATACTCGGCGCTGCCCCAAGTGTGGCCCCGCATGTTGCCTCCACACCTCCATCCACGCTCTTCCCTCCCCCAGACGGCCACGTCCCTCCCCTCGCCCACACATCCTACCTGTTATTCAAGGCCCAGCTCAGATGTCACCTCTCCCCTGAATCTGTCCTCCCACAGTCCTGATCTGCCACATTCCACACCTCAAGATCTTTTTTTTTTTTCTCACCTCTTTCCTCTCCTGACCCTTAATAGTGGGGTTCTCTCTGCTCACTTTCCCTGAGTGGTCTCATCCACTCCCGTGGCTCTGCTCCCACCTCCAGTCCAGCTCAAACCCATCGTCCAGGTCAGCTCTCCCCTCCACTCACCCGGAGACAGCTCCCCTCTATGCCTCATACACCTCACATTCTACACATGCGGAACCAGGCTGTAAGGTCCCGTCTTTCCCTCCTCTGGCCCCGAGGACCCTGTCTCTGCATGGGTGCCTGCTGTGTGTTGTGGTGCATGTAAGATGCCATCTTGTTTGTCCTGTTGCACTTCTGAATGGCACACGCTCACTGACATGTACCCCTTCAGGTACACGCCTACATCATCAGCCACCTGAAAAAGGAGATGCCGAGTGTTTTTGGGAAGGAAAACAAGAAACGAGAGCTTATCGACAGGCTGCCAGAGATCTACATTCAGCTGCAGCGAGAATACCAGATTTCCGCGGGGGACTTCCCGGAGGTCAAGGCAATGCAGGTACGGGCGCCGGTTACAGGTCATGGCGGGGACAGCGGCACGGCCGTCTTGTCCGGCTGGTCGCAGGGTACACATGGCTCATGGTGTAAGATGGAGGAGAGGGCAGTGAATTCATCTTCCTTGTGGTGGCCCATGATAACAGGCAGCGGTGCGTCAGGCAGAAGTTGCCTGCCTCCTGAAACATTTAAACCAAAGGGGACACAGGCCAAGAAGTTAAGTTCACATGAAAAATTTATCTGAGCCACCCTCTCAGGCCCTGTTCAGTGTTGTTTTGACATTGAGATGACACCTGTTTTTTGGAAACCCAGAACCGTAAGGGAATCAGAGCTGGGAGTGACCCCTCCAGCAGCCCTGCCCGGCACCGCCCTGCGCTGTGGGGTTACGTGTTCAGGCAGCGTCATTGCTGCGGACTCAGGAGGCATCAGAGGCGTGGGGCTCTGTGGACATGCTGACGCCTCTGGACACAGCAAGACATGCTCACTGAGGATTCTGTTAAATGTCCATGTTGGGAGCCTCTGGCCAGGTTTCAGGGTCTCCCTGAGTTGTGTGTGGGCAGCCAGATGAGCCCGAGTGGGTGCTGCATTCAGCCACCTTGGCCCAACCAGTGTGCCCGCCGCCCACAGTGCTGTTAGGTGAACATATCAGTGCTGACCTCATTCTCCCAAGCCAGGCAGCAGGTCCCTGCACTGGACAAGAAGATGGTCCTCCCTGAGCCAGGCTGCCGTGTTCCAGTCCAGCGCAGGGACCTGTCCACACGGGAGGCCACAGTCCTGTGGAAGGCGAGCAGTACAGGGTGAGATGGCTGCAGCCGCTAGCCACAACGTGAGCCGGCGAGGCAGGCCAGGCAAAAGGAAACCACGCCACCCTCTGACTACCTCTTATTTGTGCACATCTGATAGGGGTGCAGGTTCCTGGAAGTGTGTCTCTACAAGGAAGAAATCAAACCTACAAGTGAGATGAGGACTTGTGGGGCCCACAGTGGGGGAGATTGGAGATTCGAACACCACCCCAGCGGGAAGGCCTTGTCCTGCCCCGGGGTCGCTGCCCTGGGGGAGCACGGGGCTGGGTGGCCCACTGGAAGGTGGAACTCTATAAAGTCCCCTGGCTTTCCAGTTTTGGCTCACACTTTCAAAGAATACTGATAGGCCAGAGAGAGGAGACCTTCCTGCTGGCTGCGCCCGAGGCACAGGGAACGGACACCGAGTGGGAGTGCGGTTACAGTGCACACGGGGAGAGGGGCCACACGCCCTGTTGCGATGGCAGGGCTCAGGGGAGAATACACCATCTGCGATACAAGAGCTGGTCAACTGGGACTTAGCTGACTTCAGAATCAATACAGAAATGTCTGTGTTCTTCCGTAGATGAAATTATTATTTCCGTACTCAGAAGACGAATTGCTTTTTTTTTTTTTTTCTTTTTTTTTTTTTCTTTTTTTTTTTTTTCTTTTTTTTTTTTTTCTGGTCACAAGATGGCTAATTTTAGGGGCCTCTGGGAGCAACTTCCTGAGCAGGTTCCACTTGGTTCATGCGCTGCACCCCATAACCAGCTGAAGGACAACTGATTCTTGGCGCCCTTCAGAAGTTTTTGAAGGGAAATTGGCTTCTGTGCACACTATAGCCTAATGGGGCTCATTAGCCGTGAGGCTACCACATGCCCCACTCAAAGAAGGTGCTGCTCCCAAGACATGAGGTACCACCGAGCCACCGGGAGCTGCTGCCAGCCCCCTACCCTGGCCTCCCACCCTCCCCCAGTGACCTCCTGTAACAGGGGGCAGACTGGCCAGAGCTGATGACTACTTTAGCCTGGGCCTGCCGGGGCAGAGCTGGGGCAGAAGGGCAGTCCCTGGGGAAGAAAACAAGGAAGCCATATGCCCCTTCACCTCAGGTCTCCGGAGCAGGCACAGCCCAGTTAGATGGACAATTTAGGAAGGCTCGGACTTTCTCTGAGAACCCTGTGGGTCAGCCGCACACAGGTATGTGCCTGAGCACCTTCAATGGACACCTGAGTGCCCTAGGACTGGGACCAAGGAGTCCCACCTGACAGGTGCCCCAATCACCTGTGTTCACTTAGTCATTCACCCAAGGAATATTAAGCCTACTGTGACCAGGCACTTTGTAGGCCCCAGAATAAATCAGCAAACAAAAATGAACAAACGACAAATATCTTTGCCCCAATGGGGTATACGTTATGGATGATGGTATTTGCCACTGTGACTGTGGTTGGCGGTGAAACTTTTGGCAGCAAAGCTCATTGATGGGACATGTGCTCCTGATACAAGTGATGTTGTGTTCATTGGCTGCAACTCCGTGAGGCCAGTGACCAATGTCCTGTTCACACCATATCCGCAGCACCTGGCATGCAGCAGGTGCCCAATGAGTACATGTTGAGTGAGTTCATCATTAAGTTAGTGTATGCTTATGTCCAAGTCTATAGAAAATTTTATAAGCATTTATTTCAAGGGGGGGGGGGGGGACAAACTGAAGACCAGCCAGAAGCAAAATCTCAAAGGATTAAGGTAGTTTTGCAGTTCTTTTTATGCATTTAGAAATAAAGGAGAAAAGGTAAGAAAGGTTATATACAACCCAGTGCTGGTAGGTTAGGGAGGCAGGAGGAGGCAAAGCAGGGAAATCTCTAGGATTGGATAAAAAGTAAAACAGATACAGACTTCTTTACGTCGGTAGGTACAGGGTGCTTATCATTTCACATTTACAGTAAATAGAGGTGGTCTGAGGCAACAAGATAACATTAATGTGTTTCCTGGTGCAGGTGGTTATGCCTTCTCCAGGGGTCTGGAAAGGACAGTTATTGACATTCTAAGGGCATGTTATCTCAGATGCACAAAACAATGGACAGGGCTCACTTAAGGCACAAGCTAACCTTCCATTAAGCAACCTCTAGGCCCAGAATGTGACTGTGCACTATGACATGCCCAGTTGGGAGTGTGAGTAGACATCCTGTGTGGTTCCTCTGGGTCACTGTGCTCATCAGGTTTGTGTAGCCTCTCTTTTCCGTTCACATGTGACTCATAGGCTCTATGGTTCTGCAGGCCCAGCCCTCACTGGTTCTCACAGGCCTTATGAACCAGCAGTTCCCAGAGCACCCCCCTGGGAGCTGCAAGAGGCCTCTTCCTTGGGAGCTAGCTGGGCCCTGATCACGCCACCCAGGCCCCTCAGGGGCTCCCCAGGAAACCAGGCAGGCCTGGAGCCTGTGAGGTGTGCTTCAGGCTAGCTTTCTGTCACTCAGGATGCTTGGGGGGGGGGGGGGGGGGGGGCGGGGTTCACCGTGTGGGTCAGGGCCTCTGTCATCCCTGAGTCTCTTGAGTGTCACATCCTCTGTACCTCAGGCATCCGACCACACCTTAACCTCATCCAGGACAGGGCTTAAGCTTGGCAATGGCTTCATTAAAACCTTTGCACATCTCAGGTCACTCAGAGTCTCCGATGCCAGCTCGGAGTCTGTTTTCCCTGTGCTCTCGTAAACCGGGCTGGTCCGGTGGACTCTCAGCCATAAGGCGTCAAGTGCACCTGTGACCTGCTGGCAAGCAGCCTGTGTCCACCTTCCCTTTTGGGAGGGAATCTGATTTACCACACTGATGTGTCCATACTGGCAAACGAGGAGAACACTGGCCAGACCTCCTTTACTGCTGCCTCAGTGGTCCTCTGGGGAGAATTTGGCCCCCACAGCCAAGGAGTTGCCAGCATTTCAACAGCAGAGGGCAGCAGAGCCATCCCATCTGCTCAGATCTTCTCTGGATTCGAAAACTGCTTCTGGTGAATGTTGGGAGTGATTGGGCCGGGGACAGCGTATGGAGACTGGGCTGGGCACTGACCAATGTGTCGGGAGGGGCCGTCCTGGGCTTGGTGGCTTTGACAGGTGCGATTGTTGATGAGTTGATCCTTAAATTCCCCGGGGTGCATTCATTCCATTAAAAAGACTGTCCTGGAGCCACCCTCAGGCAGGGAGGGCAGTGGTTTAATCTGTACCCCACACTCCCTGGGCAGGCCTGGGGACTGCACTGTGGGGTTTGTTTCCTGTGTGCCCGCTGCTGCTGCTGCTTCCTGCCACCCCCACAAGAATGTGGCCATTTCCCCTTGCCAGGTTTGCAGTCTGGAGGCATGCCCCCTGCAGGAGGGTGGGAAGTTTGGGCGGACACCTCCTTCCTTTGTCAGCTTGGCCAGACACAGGGCTGTGTGTGTGCTCAGGGCTCAGGCTCGTTCGTGAGGAAATGGGGTGGGTGTCTGTGCACCGGGGCATCCGGGCCTGCTTCCCTCCTCCTGAGCGTCTTGCCTCAGTGCCCTTAGCTGACTGAGACGTTGGCAGCATCGTTCGGTGCTGATGTTGGGGTGCCATACGGGTGCCCACAGTCTGTCAGGGAGGGTAATGTCAGCCCAGTGAGACCTTCAGCTGCAGAGCTGGCTGCTAAGTGTCGGAGGTGCCTCTCTAGAGACAATGTCAGTCTCTTTAGTTTCCTGCTCTGTCCCCTCCACCAGCGAAAGCCAAGGTCTCCCCTTCAGAATGAACCACTTAGACTGTCTGCCCTGTCGGTGCCCCCTGGAGCAGCGGTCCCCAACCTTTCAGACCTCGCTGCCCTAGAGACCGCAGCCTTGCTTCTCCATTGGAAACAGCCTAAGCATCCAACTAGGTGGGACGAGGGGAATGACCGTGGCTCAGCTGCACTCAGTGTTCTGTGGCTAGTAAGATTAAGTTATACGTGGGGCTGATTCCGGGGTTCAGCCAGCCTGACTAAGGGTGGGAGCACTGCCCAGCACAAAGCAGTTCTGCAAAGGTGGCAGGTGGATTCTTTGGTTGGTTGATGGGTTGGTTGATCTTGGAGTTTTGCTTTTGTTTTCTTGTTTTAGCTTCTGACATTTAAGGAAATGTCTGTCATAACACTAGCTGAACACAGACTAAGAAATAGATTTCAGTGAATGCAGCCTTTGCAAAAAATAGTTTGGGAAAATCACACACAAAAAAAGTTTGTATAGAAATGAATATCATGGAACAATATAATACTTTAAAATACGGGTTATTATTTCTTTAAAAGACAGGTTATTAAACAATGTGGTCTTATTTCAGTTAAAGAGAGTGTGTGTGTGTGTGTGTGTGTGTGTGTGTGTGTGTGTTCATAAAAATGGGTGGAAATGCATGTCCCAAAATATTAGTAGGTTATTTGATGGGATCATAAGTGATTTAAATGTGTTATTTTTGTTTACTGCCCCCACCCCCCATAATACTTACAATAGATGTGTGATGTTTGTGATAGCACAAAGTTTTGTTTTTTCTAACAGCCTATCGCATCACTTCTGCCCCGAATAGCCTGGTGTGAAGGTGTGTGAAACCCTTTCCTCGATTCCTGCCTCATCTCCCATGCATGGCCCCTGGCCCTCTAGAGCTGTCCCAACGGAACTGCTTCACAGAGGCCACATAAAGCTGCTGTCCCTGGAATTTACTGCATTTACTTACAAAACTGCTGTTGAAACATTTTTCTTTTTTTTTTTTTTTTTTTTTTTTTTTTTTTAATATATTTTTATTGATTTTGTACAGAGAGGAAAGGAGAGAGATAGAGAGTTAGAAACATCGATGAGAGAGAGTCATCGATCAGCTGCCTCTTGCACACCCCCTGCTGGGGATGTGCCCGCAACCAAGGTACATGCCCTTGACCGGAATCGAACCCGGGACCCTTCAGGCCCCAAGCCGACGCTCTATCCATTGAGCCAAACCGGTCCCGGCTGAAACATTTTTCACTAGATCTTTGGGGCCCCTCATGAAAGGCCCTGGCTAACCTCACTGTTCAGGACAAGAAAAAGCTTGTAATGAGCAGGTGGCTTCTCCCCTCGGACAATGAGGGGATGTGCCCCCCAACACAGCAGGGGCAGCTGAGGGGCCCTGATTTTCTCTCCTTAGTTGTCTGATGTGTTCATTCCCAACCTCTCCCTTTTAATCACTTGGCTTTTCCCTTTTTCATGGAAAAAGATACTTCAGGAACAAAGGTACTTTAGACAGGAAGAAATATACTTCATTGTCCTTCCTCTATTACAACACAGGCCCCTGAAGGTATAGACTGTGGCTTTTCCTATTTATATCCCAGGCCCTAAAACAGGGCCTGGCACATAGCAAATGGCCAGTAAATGTTGGATGGATGGATGGATGGATGGATGGATGGATGGATGGATGGATGATGGATGCATGGGTGTATGTATGGGTGCATGGCTGAGTAACCAAACAGAACGCAGGTAGGAGGAATACTTCTGCACAGTCATCAGGCACCATGGTTGGCTCCTGTCTGGCCAGGCAATCACCCCGATGTCCCTGGAGCCTGTGCTCCTGCCACTCGGACCGCTGACGGCCAGTTCTGACCTGGCCAGCATAGTGGCTGGATTTATACTCGCCCTTCCCATCCCTACTCAGTTCCCTCTTACCAGTTTCAACTTTCAGTTATTTGTACCCTAAACTACATTTTTAAAAGCTGATCCAAAAATAGTGTCCTTCGTTGTCTTACTAAATAAGCCCCTCTCCACGGCGCCCGGTGCCAGCACAGGGAGCACCGGTCAGGGCAGAGGCACAGGCTCTGGTCTCGGCGCCGCCAGGACGCCCCGGTGCTCTGCTCTCTGTAGCACACGGCTGTTGTCGTGAAGATCAGCACGGTCTGTGGCAAGAGATGAAATGCTGAGTCTGAGGGCTCAGAAGGCGGGGCGAGGGAGGCTGCCGCCCTGAGGGGTCGCTGTCCCCGACCCCCCGCAGCCAGCAGGGGTAGCTACTGCAGCCAAGCGCTGCATTACGTACATCTTATTTCTTGTTCTAAAAGCCGCTCCTGTGTCCGGTGAGTTTGGGTGTGGGGACCCCACCAAAGAGGGAGCCCGGCTCAGAGTGTGAGCTTTCGGGAGAATCTCCTCCCCCACGCCCCCTCCCTCTCTGCCCCGGAGGAGGGGGCATGTCGCCAGGTCTGCGGTCTCTCCTTCTGCAGGAGCAGCTCGAGAACTACGACTTCACCAAGTTCCACTCGCTGAAGCCCAAGCTGATCGAGGCCGTGGACAACATGCTGACCAGCAAGATCTCGTCGCTGATGAGCCTCATCAGCCAGGAGGAGCTGAGCGCGCCCGTGCAGCTGGTGCAGGGCGGCGCCTTCGAGGGCTCCTCCCAGGGCCCCTTCAACCAGGGCTACGGGGAGGGCGCCGGGGAGGGCGCCGACGAGGAGGAGTGGGTGGTGGCCAAGGACAAGCCCGTCTACGACGAGCTCTTCTACGCCCTGTCGCCCGTCAACGGCAAGGTCTCCGGCGTCAACGCCAAGAAGGAGATGGTGACGTCCAAGCTGCCCAACAGCGTCCTGGGCAAGATCTGGAAGCTGGCCGACTGCGACGGCGACGGCATGCTGGACGAGGAGGAGTTCGCGCTGGCCAAGCACCTCATCAAGATCAAGCTGGACGGCTACGAGCTGCCCAGCCGCCTGCCGCCCCACCTGGTGCCCCCCTCGCACAGGAAGTCCTTCCAGAAGGCTGACTGAGGCCGCCCGCCGGGCAGGCCGTGCGGGCGGGGCCCCTGGGACGGGGCCCGAGGTCCTTCCTGCCGCTGACTCGCTGAGCGACCCCGGGAAAGGCGCTGCCCTCTCTGTGCCTCGGTTTCCCCATCTGTAGAACGGAGAGGGCAGACACTGAACACTCGATGCCGTCCTTTCACCTCTAAACCCCCTGCGTTTTTATTAAAATACTGGGGGGAGGTGGGGAAGGACATTGTAAGGTGGAAAGGAAATAGAAATTGACCAAAGAGAACTCAGAATCCGGGAGAGGCGTAAGCGTGGGAGCGGGCTTGCTGGAGCCCCAGGGGCTTGGGTGTGAGCTGGGCTTCTCTGGGCCATCACCACCATAAAGCTGTTTGCCCTGAGGGAGCAAAGGCCTTATTTATTTGTTTCCTGCTGTAGTGGGGGCGGGCAGGGAATAGGGCAGAGAGGGTTTCTGTTCTCTCTAAACTGTCCACCAAAGAGGGCGATTGCTGCCCGTGGGGGGCGGGGAGAAATGTGCCCCCTGCAGGCCGGGCGGAAAGGCAGCTGCCGCGGAGCGCCCGTCCCAGCGCCCGCTCTGTCCCCCGCACCACCCCGGCCTCCCTGCCAAGTTGTATTTGGTTAGGAACTTGGAATTCATTAGGAATTTAATAATTTGTTTTATTGGACCCAGCAAGATTTCTAGAATTCATTTCAAGTCATGTTGGAGCCTAAAGACTAGCTTTTCTTACTGGCTGTCCAGTAAGGTGCAGTAAACTGCGGAGAGGAAAAGAGGTGGTTCTCCCCTTGTCACTTAGCCTCGTCCCCTGCCCCAGGGCTCCGGGTCCACGGCAGGACTTAATTCAGCGAGTGGCGTCTCAGCGAGCACGGTGTCCGGGCCTGCACACCAGAACGAGAAGCTCGGTCCACCAGCCTTAGACACTGTTTCTATGTTGTTGTTTTTAAAAAAGGCATTTTTTTATGTCTAGTTTTTTGCGTTTTTTCTTCTTCTTATGAGATAAAAGCCTTTATACAGAAACAGGATAGAACCTTTCATAGAGAGCCTTTTCTTCAGAAAGCCGTGTGGCTCATATCATGAATGCCCACCAGGAGGCAGGATTTGGGCAGCGGATACAGCGGCTCCGGAGGGTCTCCCAGGCCCCACGTCAGCCCCCCGGGCCGGGCACTCGGCCCTGTGCCAGGTGGCGGTGTGAACGGGCGCTGCTCGGGCACAGGGGCCTTTCGCCATCACTGAGGCAGTAAGAGAGAGGCATGGAGTGGCGATGGCGTGGCCACAGGGCATGGGGCCCCCCAGCACCAAATGCATGAAATCAGAACAGGAGCCACGCTGTTTTTCTGATGTTACCTATGACTTCAGGGCCAGAACTGCAGCTTAAGAGAAATGTTTCCCTTCAGAGAAGCGTGCATCCAGATGCCAGCCCTCACACTCCCTCGCTTGCTGACTAAATAACTTTGTTTTAAGAGAAATAAATGCATAGCCTGGTTTTTATTCTTACTGAGCACTTTTAAATTAATTAGACACAGAACAGGGACGGTTACAGTCCCTGCTGCATTAGGAGCAGAGCTCGGAGTACCTGGCACTGCCCGCCTGTAAGCACAGTGGAGTCCACCGGTGGGCAGCACTGAGCGAGAAGAGAGAGTTCAGTCTGTAGGTTCAGAGATGCCAGGGTCAGCCGATGGTCCTTTCAGAAGTATCTTGCTTCTTAAACTACTGAATTGTTATATATAAAGATAAATATATATGCATATATGTCACATAAATATGTATTTTTGACACTTGTCATTGTGTACATATGTGGATATGGCCAAAGGCTGTGTATGCAGAGACATGTAAGCAAACTGTTTCAGGGAGCCAATGGGCTGAGGTTTCTGGTTTCTGTGTGGAAGGAAAAGGATGGTACTGTGACCCCAACCCCATGCCCTCGGGAGAGCATTGGACAGCTGAATCCTTTCCCTGCTGAGGGGAAAGAAAAGGGGGAATCGTGTGATCATTTTTCTTAATATCTTCTCTTCCCACATGAAGCCACTGGAATCGACTGGAAAACATTAGGGATGGCACCCAAGTGAGAAACCGCATCTCCCCAGGACTGGCACAAAGTTCCTTTAACCTGTGACCCCTGACTCCCTCTAGGGGGAGCCCCCCTACCCCCACCCCCACCCAGCAGAGCGGGGGACAGGAGGGGCTGTTCACCTTGACCGACGTTCTTGCCTCCCCACGCCACCCGTTTTCAAAGTGCCCCTCCCCAGAGCGGGAAGACGTTGGGAGGTGGAAGCCGGTGAACTCCAGCTCTGAGAACTATCTCCGCGCTCCCATGGCTCCACAGGGGAAAATCTGGTTCGAACGCAGCAGGTGACTCCACATACACACCCCTCTGCCGTCCGCCATTTGGGGAAAATGAAAACGAGCCTGCTCCTCCCTAAGGTGACTTCCCAGTTGTAAGCCTGCTCGTTGGCCCTCCTCATCGCCTGTAAAGGACCCGCCCTGGGACCTGCCCACTCCCCAGCTCGGCAGTGCAGGCGCCACCTGCCTCGGCCTCCCCCGCCCAGCACCCACCCTTCCTCCCCGAGCACCTGGACGCCCACGCGGTCCCTTCTCCGTGGGGAGGGCCGTTCCTTCATTTGGCTTTGCTTCCCCGGGGCTGGACTGGGTGCTGCTTGGAGCACCCAGTCATCATGCGGCAATGGTGTCTGACGTGGGCTTTGGTTGCTCCCACAAGATGGGGGCCTTGAAGAGCTGAATTCTTACTCTGTTATCCGAGGACCGAGGTCCAGGTGGGTCAGAGGCGTGAGAAGCAAATGCCTCCTGCTCTCTCCCCAACCCCCGCCGTCCTTACCAGCTCGCAGGAGGCCCTGGTCCCTGCCACCACCACCACCACTCCCCCCGCTGACCACAGTCCCCCAGGGTCTGCAGGCTCCGGGGGGCTCCTCTCCACACGCACGCACACACACACACCCCCGCCCTCCACCGGGGAGATCACCACCCAGACACCCAACACCTGACAAACAGCCTTGAGGAAGAGGAGAGCGTTTAACAAAACAACATTCTCGGCACAGATAAGTGCTGAGTTTATTCAGAGAAACATGGACCTGGTTTAAGAGTGTGTCAGGTTACGTGTCCATTAGCCAATGCAGTTACCACACAATGCTTCTGTCTGTTTTGTAAGACACAGTCTGCTGATCAATAAACTTCTGAAAACACCGCCACCTTCCCTCCGCTGGCTCTGGTTGTCCAGGGGCTGTGCTGCGGTCTGCAGGTCTGCAGTCACGTGGGGGAACCCCGTCATCTGCTCCGAGACCAGGCGGGGGGCGGGGCGCGTACCCCTTCTGCACGCCATCCCTGTGACCCCTGACTTCCTCTAGGGGGGACTCCCACAAGGGGGCTTCTTTATTTTATTTTATTTTTAAATATATTTTGTTGATTTTTCACAGAGAGGAAGAGAGAGGGATAGAGAGTTAAAAATATCAATGAGAGAGAATCATCAATCAGCTGCCTCTTGCACACCCCCTACTGGGGATGTGCCCGCAGCCAAGGTGGTGGTGCCCTTGCTGGAATCGAACCTGGGACCTTTCAGTCCGCAGGCTGATGCTCTATCCACTGAGCCAAACCGGCTTCGGCCCAATGGAGCTTCTTTAGAGGGAAAGCAGCTCAGCCACAGGCAGAGGCCAGGTCTGGGAGCAGGCCCGAGGGAGCTGAGGCACCAACTGAGACTGGAGGGGACCTGGGAGGCGGGCACCCCCAAAGGAGCCCTCCTGCCACGAGGTCCCTCCCCGTACACAGGAAGGGGCAGTGGGACCGGGTGGAGCCTGGCGGCTGGTACTGCTCCTGCCTCTGGCCACCCTCACAGGTGTGCACACCCCGGGCAGACATCGGGGTTTCCCCACTGGCACCCACCTACCTTTCGGTGATCCAGACGAAGAACTTTGCAGAGCACTTCCCACATCCCCACCCTCAGGCTGAGCCGTAAGATTTGGTGAGATAAGCCTAAGGTGACCAGACGTCCAGCTTTAGGCGGGACAGTCCCAATTTTTAACTTTTTGTCCCACAGCCCACGGCGTTTTAAAAAAAGTCCCGATTAAAAAAAAAAAAAATTTTAAACGCCACAGGACGCGGGACAAATTGTTAAAAATCGGGATGTCTGGTCACCTTAGATAAGTGTCCTCCCCCCCATCTCTCCAGGGTGGTTCCTGAGCCGGTGTTTCCCCCCTGGCCACAGGAACCGGCGCAGGACTGGAGTGTTTCAGCGATGCCTGTGAGAGCAGAGCCCTCAGGCTTCTGTTTCCATTCGTAGGAGAAATGCTCTCTTCTCTGAACCATGCCATGCGAAAAAGCAAGCCTGTCGGTGCAACAATATAAATGGCCTTGAAACGGTGCACAGAGCTGCTGGGGCGGGGCAGTGAGGGCAGGCAGAGGGAATCCAGGCCTGGGGCAGCATCATTGGAGCTGCTGGATCAAACCTCACCTAAAGTCCTCCTCCCTCACAGTTCAGGTCTGTGGGCCAGTACTTCCCCTTTATATTATTTGAGATGCCACTTCCTTGCGAGGTAGGTAATCCAACACCAAAAAGGACTCAGCGGGACTCAGTCAGTCGCTGCCAGAGAGGGGCCGGGCCTCGGTGCGGGCTTTCCTGCAGCAGCTCAGCGGGCAGAGAAGTCCCCCACCCCACGCCACAGCCTCAGCTGCAGCAGCCTCTGCTGGGACCAGAGTAGGAAGCTTTGCTCAGCTCCCCTGGGCACATCACACAGGAGCCCTCGGAGGGGAAACAAGCTGGTGGGGGCAGGGACTTCCTAGAAGGAGCAGCATTTTAACGGGCAGCTAGGATAGGAGGATGGGGAACAGAAGGGGATTCTAAGCTGAAGCCCAGATGTGTGCAGGAAGCTGTTTCTGTGAAGCAGTGGGTGTGAGCAGAGCCGTGCTCCGGGAGGTAAGTGAGCAGGTGCCGTGCAGGCGGGTGGCAGGCTGGGGACCGCGAGGAGCACCTGCAGGGGCAGGGAGAGCAGACGGGACGGGAGGGTGGACCGGGGGCACTGGGGGGCACGCAGCCGCAGCCGCTGGTGACTGAGAGGATCTGGGCTGCGAGCGAGGCCCTCACAGGGAGAGGACCGCAGGGAGGGAGTTCCTCTCAGATGTTCCTGCTCCCCGTGTCGCTGGGCTCCTGGCTCCACTCCTCACACGTCTGTTCCCCTGGGATCTCCCTGAGACTGTCCTTCCAGAACCCCACAGGGACTGGAATCTCCTTCAGACTGAGCCTCTTGGCCCACCTATCTTCACCTCTGAGAGGCGAAATGCCCTCGGGGAAACGGCACCCCCACATGGACAGTTCTGGGCGCACAGGGAGCTCCAGTCAGGGACATCTCAGTCTGTTCAGCTGCTGTAACAAACATACCACACGCTGGGTAGGTTACAATCAGCATTTATTCCTCACAGATCTGGGGGCCGGGAAGCCCAAGATAAGGCGCCGGCAGACTGGGTGTCCAGTGAGGGCGTCTTCCGGCTGCAGGGGGTACGTTCTTGCTGGGCTTACATGGTGGAAGGCGCGAGGGTGCTCACTGGTCTCTTTCACAAGGGCTCTGCCCTCATGACCCGTCACCTCTCAAAGGCCCCTCCTCCTAGTGTCACCTTGGGCAGGGGCGGGGGTGGATAGAAGGGAGGGGGAGGGGCGGAATATTCAGACCCTAGGAGGGAGCATGAGGACTCCACCTGCAGCTGGCCGAGCATCTGGCCTGGGGCTGATGGGTATTTTTCTCTTGCTCTGCAGCCCACAGTCTAAGCCCAGACCCTGCACTTCCTGGCTGAGTGCACAGAGGCGGCGCCCAGCACGGCCACGCCACGCAGGGAGGGCGCCTGGGTGAGTGGGTGGGCGCCCTGAGCCTCCAGGGCCAGCACAGATGCACCCTCGTAAGCCTGGACTCGGAGCTGAGACTACCAGCGGAGGGAGTGAGACCATGTGCGAGACCTCTGACCACCCGCCCCGCCTGGTGCAGACCCCTGGTGCAGGCGCAGGCTCAACTGTGCCAGTAGAATAGGGTCATGAGGCTTCCTTTCCAGAGGCCAGGGCCGCCCCCTGCCCTCCTTGCGAGGCAGACGCCCATCTTCACCGCCGGCTGCCCTGGGGGCACCCGCAGAAGAGACTGCGCCCGCTCCCACCGCCTTCCTGCTCAGGCCAGGCCCGAGGCGAGGGGCACCCTTCGCACCTGCCAGAATGCTGCCGGGCTGTCACCTGGGCCCCACATCCCCCTCATCCCGTCCTCCTCCTCTCCGAGACGGAGCCTGTTTGCAGGACGGCCAGAGCCCTCCTGCACCCTCACTCTTCTCGTCCCTGTTCTCTGCCTTCCCCAGTCCCCGGCCCCTGCTCTGAGGGAGACCCGGAGTCAGGCTGTCAGCCAGACAGACCCCCAGGCCCACACACAGAGCCAAACCTGAAGTCACACACACACACACACACACACACACACACAGACCTGCAGCTACACAGCTCATGCCGGGGGAGAGGCAGAGGCAGAACAACTGGTCTCGGTAAGCGATCCAGTCACTCCTGCAGGGCCCGCTGATCCCAATTTATGATCAGGTGACGTGTGGCTGAGTGAATGGCCTTGTCCTGGACACAGTGCCATTTCTTCTGTTCTGGGACTCCAGCCACCGGCCCGGACAGGGACCAGGGTAGACAGATGCAGTGAGCACCGGGCATCTCCCATCCACCTCACACCCTGGTCCTGCCTGCAGGACCATCCCACATGCCAGTCAGGAGGCGGCAGGGTGTTCCTGGGAAGCCAGTGGCCTGAGGCACGAATGTGTGACAGGTCCCAGGTCCCAGCCGGGTGAGGCTGAGCCACTGGTCTCTCTGGCTCTTCAGGCCCCAGGTCCTCACTGCGGGACAGGAAGTCCCGGCCACACCCCGAGGCCCCTGGCCCGGCGGACGGCCAGTGCCTGCAAGGGTGCTCCCCTGGCCGGGGCTGCAGCAGAGACCTCCCCCCCCAGGCCGAACGGGACTGCCGCCACTGAGGAAGGTTCTGGAGCAGGTGCCCATGGGGAGGCCTGGGAGCGCTCGCCAGCTCCCTGAGGTGGCTGGGAGACGTCTTTTGTTGTTAAGCCTACCACCCGAGGACAGTTTTTCTATTGATTTTTTTTTTTTTGAGGGAGGGAGAGACAGAACATTGGTGGCCTCCCACCCACACCCTGCCCAGGGCCAGGGATCGAGCCTGCAGCCAGATACACGCCCTTGACTAGAAAGCAAACCTTCAATGCGAGGGCTGACGCTCTAACCACTGTGCCCACCAACCAGGAAACCATCCTGTTCCTTAAACCAGGCGCTGCCCTGGGTAACCCAGAGCCTGCAATACCAGGTCCCTTCTCGGCAGCAACGACAGCATCTCAGCGACGCCCCGCATGTGCAGGAGCCTCTGTGGCAGAGAAAGCGCTCTACTGTACCCTGTGCACCTACGCCAGGTGGCGAGGAAGGGAGAACAGAGCAGACAAGGCCACGGGCTTTGACCCTCACACCGATCTGGTCAGTGCGGCTCCGGCTCCCCAGCTCCTCCCCCGGCTGACAGACTCCCCCTTCCTCAAAAGGAGGCCTGGGCCTCCCGGGAGGTGTCTGGTGGCGCAGTGCCCAGCTGGGTGCTGCTGGCTGCAGGCCGCGGGGGGCTCCTCAGAGGCTGGGGCCTCCGACGGGCCCTCCACGCCCCAGAGGCTCTGGAACGCCGGTGCTGCGGTCTGGCCCAGCTCACCCAGCGCGGCGGCAGGGGAGCGCCCGGGGCGTCACTGGGGCCGCCTGCGCCGCCGCACGGCCTCCCGCAGGGCCGCCAGCAGCGCCTCCCGGTTGTTGAGGATGTTGTACCGCGTCAGCCGGAGCAGCTTGTCCGCGTCCTCGGGGCTGTAGGTCACCTTCGAGTAGTGGTACGGGGAGCTGGCCGAGGACAGGTTCACCTCCCCGGCCGCCGCCTCCTCGGCGGCCCGGCGGACTCCTGCGGGCGGAGGGCGGGCGTGGGGGGGATGCACGGGGCGGGGGGGGGATGCACTGGGGGAAGGGGGAGGGATGCACGGGGGCGGGGGGGATGCACTGGGGGAGATGCACGGGGGGGGATGCACTGGGGGGGGATGCACTGGGGGGGGATGCACGGGGGGGGGGGGGGTCGTCACCGGCGGAGGGACACAGGACACAGGACGGCGCGCGGGGCGGGGCGGGGGCTCACCGGGGGCCGAGTGCTCCCGGAAGGAGCCGTTGACCAGGGGGAAGTGCAGCAGGGCGGGCGCCTCGGGGCGCGCGGGGTCCAGGAACAGGCGGCACTCCCCCGGCCGGCGCTGCTCCTCGGGGCTGGGCGCGATGGGCGGGAACGGGATGCCCTGCTCCTGGCAGAACCGGCCGAGGAGCTGCAGCTGCTGCAAGGCGGGCAGAGCGGCATCAGGGAGGCCGGCCCAGGGCGGCCCGGCCCCGGCAGCAGGCTGACCCGGGACTTCGCGCCCAGGGGCCTAAGCAGACCCTGAGGGCCGGTGGAGCCAGGCCTGATGGAGAAACCTCCAAACGGGGCGCTAACAAAGCCCGACCCGCAGCCGGGAGGCAAACCCTCCCGGACCAGCACAGAAACGCAGGGCGGGGACCCAGAGGCAGGGACCAACTGGGGCGGAAAACGGCAAAAGGGCTCAAGTGTAAAGACATGCCACGCTGCCAGCGCCCCCATCGCTCCCCTCCCTGGGCAGCTGGGCCCCGGTGTGGATTCTGTGAACTCCGTTTCCCATCCACTCGGCGTCACTTCACCGCCGAGGGCCAGCCACTGGGCCCCGGAGCGGAGGCCCCGAGGCAGGGAGAAGCCAGGAGGCGGCAGCCTGGGCTGCCCACCTGGAAGGCCCCGTGGAGGCTGTAGTCCAGCGACAGGATGAGGTCCACGCCCCGCGTGGGCCGCAGGAGGGGCGGGCAGCTGGTGTTGATGAAGTAGCCGACATCCAGCAGGCAGAGGTGGGGCTCGGCAGGGGTCAGCTGGTTGGGGTGCCCGTCCAGTTTGGTGGCTGGAAAGGTGGGGGGGAGGGGGGAGCAGCTGTCACAGGGGCTCAGGCGCCAACCCCTCGGGCCTCCTGACGGCTCCTTCCGCTGGTGGAGACGCTGCCGCCGGCCCTGCCTCACCAGAGCAGCACCCCCGCTTCCGGAGGCCCGGTCCCCACCACGAGAGAAAGCAAGCGGGCTCTCACTCCGAGCGGCCGGGGACCGAGCTCACAGGGCAGGGGGCGGGTGTCTGGCCCTGGGCTGCTCTGGAGGCTGGGACGGGAGGCGGTACCTTTCCAGCTGGAGAAGTGGGGGTGCTGGAAGTAGTCCCGGTGGAAATGGAGGCCGCGCAGGAAGTTGTGGGAGGCCTGGGGGAGCGGGCGCCGGGTGAGGAGGTCGGTGAAGAACTCGGCTATCCTGCCGGCCCCCGAGGGAGGCTCCTCGACCTTCAGAAGGGGGCCCTGCTCCCTGTCTGCACAGTCAGGGGGGAGGAAGGGGGTGTCATTCCTGGGCCTTTGCTCCGGCCCCTGCGGACCCCCAAAGGTGAGAGTCCTCATTCCCCCAAACACAGCCCCACGGACTGCCCCACCGCATCCTCACAAGGATCCGGCACCTACCCAGGCTGGCCTGGTCCTGTGCCCAGCGGTCCCAGAACTGGCCGGGCTCAGAGGACCAGTACAAGCTGTCCTGGAGGTTGGCGGCATACAGGTTGCTCCAGATCCCTGAGAACAGGGGACACGGGGGGAGTCCTCCACCGGCACAGCCTGACCCTTCCCTCCCCAAGGCCTGGCAGTGACTGAACGGGGAAGGTCAAGGCCAAGGCCCACCCCTCCCCCACTCCCACCCCAGGCCCATTCTCCCCTGCCCCAGCTCCCACCCCCACCCCAGGCCCATTCTCCCCCTGCCCAACTCCCACCCCCACCCCAGGCCCATTCTCCCCCTGCCCAGCTCCCACCCCCACCCCAGGCCCATTCTCCCCCTGCCCCAGCTCCCACCCACACCCCAGGCCCATTCTCCCCCTGCCCCAGCTCCCACCCACACCCCAGGCCCATTCTCCCCCTGCCCAGCTCCCCAGCCTTCCAACCTCCTCACCTTCCAGGAAGCAGATGCGGGACTCGGGGAGCTGCCTCACCAGGCGCCCCATGAAGAACTCGGAGCCGAAGAGCTCGGAGGGGATGAAGGCGCCGTACTTGGGGAAGCCGACCTCGTAGGGGGAGAACTCGCACCACTCTGTGAGGGCCGCACAGCCTTAGGGGCCCAGGGCCCGGGCACCGCGGTGCCAGCCCACCCGCCAGCTTCACGCCAGGCAGCCGTGACCTGAAGGCTCGGCCTTACACTGGCCCCGCCCGCATCCCAGAGCCTGAATGACAGTCCTGGGGAGCAGGGGGCCCGGCCAGAGAGGGGGTGCGGTGCCCACCCCCAGCCCCACCACGAAGCTCCCGGCCGCTCCCTGCCGCTCACCGCCAAACTCAAAGGTGGTCAGGCTCCTCCCCTTGGTGTTGAGGGCGCAGTAGATGGGCAGAGGGTTCTGGCCGCGGGCCAGGGCCTCCCGCTGGTCTGAGAGTTTGTGGTCGTGGGGCTGGAGCAGGGGTGGGGAGAGGGTCTGACCCTAAAGCCACGGCTTCCTGGTGCCGGGGCCTCCCCCGCCCCGCCGCCCACGCTCCCCGGGCGGCCGGGCCCCACCTCGCCGTGCAGCAGCGCCTCGTTGACGAGGGCCCACAGGTCGGTGAAGCAGGGCGGGTGGCCCAGGCGGGCACGGGCGGCCAGCTCCCGCCGGTAGCGCTGCAGCTGCCCGGGGGCCAGTGCGCCCAGCTTGCTCCTGGTCACCTGGGCCCGCAGCAGCTCCGTGGGCCCCGCCAGGTCCCTCTGGGACCACTCCGGGTCCTCGTAGAGGTTGGCCAAAGCCCTGCGAAGGCCGGAGCCGGGAGACCGTCACTCAGGGGCCCGCTGGGCTCTGGTCTGGGACCACAGCCTGGCAGGGCCCCCCCAGGGCCCGAGCGCATTCCTCTCCGCCTTCCCTCCGGCCAGAGGCCTGTGCGGTCTGGGAGCCGCGCCACGGCGCCCCGCCACAGCCCAGGCGGCACCCCGGGCTTCTGCACCCGCCTGCCCCGGCTCACCAGGTGGATCCCGAGGCTCCTGTGATGTAGGAGACGCAATCCAGGAGGCCCAGCTCCTGCAGGCCGGCCAGCTGCCCGTGCAGGGCGGTCATTGCCCGGATGCCACCACCAGTGGCCATCACAGCGACCACCGGGACCTGCACGAGAAGACAGCCAGGCTCAGAGGGGCCTGGGGCCCGGCAGGGGTGCTCAGTGCTTAAGCCGTTGACCTATGAACCAGGAGGTCAAGGTTCGATTCTCAGTCAGGGCACATGCCCAGGATTTCAGACTCGATCCCCAGGAGTGGGTGTGCAGAAGGCAGCTGCTCAGTGATTCTCATCATTGATGTTTCTATCTCTCCCTCTCCCTTCCTCTCTGAAATAAATAAAAATACATTTTTTCAAAAAGAGAGAGGGGCCTTAGGGAGGGGGAAGGCCAAGCCACGGGAAGAGAAGGTAATAATCTTAGCGGCGGTTCAGCTCACCCACAACTAAGTCTGCTCAAAATCTAATCAGGCCCAGGCTGGTTTTGCTCAGTGGTTAGAGCATTGGCCTGTGGACTGAAGGATCCTGGGTTGGATTCCAGTCAAGGGCACATGCCCGGTTGCTGGCTTGATGCCCAGTGGGGGGAATGCAGGAGGCAGCCAATCAATGATTCTCTCTCATCATTGATGATTCTCTCTCTCCCCCCTCTCCCTTCCTCTCTGAAATCAATCAGGGTTCTTGATCTAATCAGGGCGTTTGGGAATGCTGAGGAGGGTTTAGTCCAGCGGTCAGCAAACTCATTAGTCAACAGAGCCAAATATCAACAGTACAACGATGGAAATTTCTTCTGAGAGCCACCTTTTATAAACTTAAACTTCTTCTAACACCACTTCTTCAAAACAGACTCGCCCCGACCGTGGTTTTTGTGGAATATACCACTCAATGAGCCAAAGAGCCGCCTGTGGCTCTCGAGCCGCAGTTTGCCGACCCCGGGCCTCGTCAGAAGCAGCCTCGTGGGGGTCAGGTCTGTCTGATGTTAAGAACTCAGGGAGCGTGGACAGACCAGGCCTCAGCTCCTCACCTCTAACCCTCAGCAGTCTGATGCCACTTTCTGGGAGCCCCAGGGCCATCTCAGACTCCTCCGCTGTAGCCCCTCCTCACCCCTCCCGAGGACAGGCCGTCTCACTGACCGGCCAGACCAGGCCCAGCCTCGCAGCCCAGAGCAGGCCAAAGGCCAAGAAACAACGAGAAGGAAGCTAGCCAAGTAGGGCAGCTTACACCTCCAGGTGTCTCATCCCATGCTCCACACTTGCTGTGACCAAGCTCCCGACAACAAGAGAGAGGGGGCAGGAAGCACGGGCAGGGAGAGCCTCTGGTCAGGGAACAGCCAGTCCCAGCACCGGCCCCGGGCTGCGGCCCGAGGGCGCCTCCCCCAGCCCAGCCCCGGACCTCGTCCTCCTGCAGGTCTGCGTCCAGCTGCAGGGCCCGCTTCAGGGCCTCGGCCGCCACCGCCTTCCGCCGGCTCAGGAAGGCGCGCTCCTCGGCGCAGGGCCCGCAGCCCAGCCGCACGGCCAGCTCCTTCGGCCTGCGGGAGAGGGTGTGAGGCAGAGGGGAGCGGGCCTGTCCCCCTGAACGCGTTCTGCATCTCTCCTCCCCCGCGGCCCCTCCTCCCCCGCGGCCTCTCCTCTGTCCCGGCAGAAGTGGGTGTGAGGGGGAGCGGGGACCCAGGCCCCGCGAGGACACACAGGGAATGTGGGGAAGAGGATTCGCTGTGACCGAAGAGGCCCCTCTGCAGTCCCAGGTGCCGCAGGCAGGCCCTGGTGGGACCCAGCACACTCCCACCTCCCAGCCTCCCCCTCCCCCACTCCGGGGGCGAACCAGGCCCCACCTCCTCGCTGCGAGCAGGCGAGGGACTCCTGGTCTCGTGAAGGCAGCTAAGGCCCCCGATGATGCCCCTGAAGGGGCACTCTCCCCTCCCCTCCCCTCCCCTCCCCTCCTCTCCCTTCCCTCCTCGCCTCGCCCTCTCCCCTCCCCTTCCCTCCCTTCCCCTCCCCTCCCCTCCCCTCCCCTCCCCTCCTCTCCTCTCCTCTCCTCTCCTCTCCTCTCCTCTCCTCTCCTCTCCTCTCCTCTCCTCTCCTCTCCTCTCCTCTCCTCTCCTCTCCTCTCCCTCTCTGGGCCTCAGCCCCTCCCGCATCCCACCTGTCTTCCAGCCAAACGTTTACCAAGTGCCTCCTAAGAGCCAGGCACTGGGCTGGGCACACACCCTCCAGCAAATAATGCGAGTGAGACGGGAAAAGAGCCTCTATCTGCTCGGGCTCCCGCACGCCGCCCGGGTGGGAGCAGACCGAGCACCTCAGGGGAGTCGGCGGCTGTGCCGGGAGCCCCCCCCCCCCCCCCCCCGCGCTCCCCTCCAGGCGGAGTCCTGCCATCGGCCTGGCCCCCACCCGCCGGCCTCTCACCCTTCTTCTCTCTTCAGCTCCACCCGCATCAGAGGCTCCTGAAAACACGGGGGCCCCGGTCACACTGCGGCCGCCCTGTCCCTCAGCCCCGCCCCCCAGTCCAGCGCTTACTGAGGACCCTTCGGGCCGGCCGCCCCGCTGTGCCCCTGCTCCCTCCCGGGCCGTACCTGGGACGTGGGGAAGACGAGGCTCACCGCCTGGCCAGAGGGCAGGGCCCTCAGGGGCACCTTCAGCTGCTCCTGGGGGGCGTCCTGCAGGAGCAGAGAGAAGAGCTAAGAATGCCTCCCTTTCCCTTCCGGCAGGGGCCTCCCCAGCTGCTCCTGGGAGGGACAGAGGAACGGCAGGAGGGGCCCCAAGGTCACTGCCAGCCTCACCCTCTTCCCCGTGGGCCCGCCTCTGCCGGGGTGAGGGCGCCAGGGTGAGGGGCCGTGGGAGCGGGGCTGAGGGCAGGGGCCGTGGGAGTCCCGGCACACTACCTGCAGGCGGACGCTCAGCTCCGGCTCCCAGCAGGGCAGGCAGTGGAAGCAGGAGGCAGTGCCCACTGAGGCCTCCTGTGGCCCCTCATGGGCCCCGGGAACCACGAGCTGAACTCTGCCCTCTGACCCTGGAGACAGGAACCAGAGCAGAGAGGCTGGGAACAGGGTCTGAGCCCCCAGAGGCCTGGCCTTGCCAAAGGCGCCTCGGGCACCTCCCTCCGGCACTGAGATGGCGTCTGGCCCCGGACGAGGCTGGAGATGGAGTGCCCCCTCCGCAGCACCCCCCCCCAGGAACAGGGGAAAAGCCCCAGCACGAAGCTGCCCCCCTCTCCTGCCTGAGGGCGGGGGGCGTCCAGTGCAAGGCCCCGTAGAAAGGGCTGAGGGCTATTGGGGGGTCAGGGACTCACCCGTCTGGTCCCCAGCCGCCTCCAGGCGGACGTGCAGGCGGGAGACCTCCCGGGCCTGAGTGATGAGAGAGCCGTGAGCACTCCTGCTCCCCGCCCAGCACCCTGGTTCCGGCTCCTCACCAAACACCCTGAGGTCGTATCCTCCTGAGGAACTGCCATCCCAGGGACCCCCATCCAGCTCTGCCCCCGCCCCCCACGGTGGGCCTGAGGCTCGGGGAGGGGTCCAGACTCACCACCAGGATGCCATTGCTGACCAGCTGCTCGGCACGGTCGGTCCTGGAAAGAGCCCCCGTGACCCGGAGCGGGGGTCCCGGTTCCCCGGTGCCCCCCATGGAAGCCGGGCCTTCCTCCCCCACCGCTGGGGATCCCCCAGGGAAGGGTGCCCGCGCCCTGTCCCTCCCACCCAGGACCGTCCAGGGCCCCGGACTCACAGACTCTGCAGCCGAAATTCAACCTCCAGCCGCGCCCCCCCCTGGGCAGAGAAAGAAGCAGGTTAGAAAGGGTGAAGTGGGGGGAGGAGGAGGGGAGGCAGGGAAGGAGAAAGCGATGGGGGCAGATTCCAACCCAGACCCCGGCCAGCGGGGCTGGGACCCGTGGCGTCCATCGCCAGCTGCTCCGCCCCCCTCCCTGCAGGGCTGCCCTGGGCTGAGGTGTCTGAAAGGGCTGGGGAGGGGGCTGTGGCTCCGGAGCAGAGGGCCCGGTCCGGCGCCCGCCCCGCCTTGCCTGCGGGCTCCGGAGGAAGCTTTCGTGGCGGGACTCCCCGGGCTGCAGGGGCCCCAGGTCGTACAGCACCGACAGCATCTCGTCGTCGCCGGTCCAGGGGTCCTCGTCGAAGACCTGCAGCTGCACGACGTTCTGGAAGGGACCAGAGGAGGGGCTGCAGGGAGGAGGGGGGCAGAGGGAGGGGAGCGGGGCGGGGCGGGGCCAGGGGCAGCCGCCGGGTCAGTGAGAAGGTGACTCAGGCCCACCTTGAGCTGCCTGTGGATGCGGAAGCGAAAGCTCTGGTTCCAGACGGGGTTTCTGCTGTTCTTCACGGTGCGTGTCTGCAGCCTGTGGCTGGAGGCCGTGGGCAGCCACAGCGTCACATAGCAGTCCGAGGCGGTCACTGTGGGGAGAGGGCACGGGGACTGCCAGCCCTTCCCAGCCCGGCCCACAGGCCCTGTCCCTCCGCCGCAGGCGGCCCCGGGACACCACAGACCCAGGGACCGGGCCGCTGGGAGGCAGGAAGAGCAGAGGCAGAGCCCCGGCCGTGACTTCCCTCCTCCCCCCCGGCACCCTCTCCGGGAGCCCTGCACACCCAGCCCCACTCCCATCTCGTGGCACTGCCCTGCCCGCCTCTGAAAGCCACACAGCACCGGTGCCCGCCCCGGTGCCCGCCCCGGGCAGCACTCACCTAGGTCCTTGGAGGGCAGGCCGTGGGCCCGTAGGACGCGAATGGTGAGCAGGCACGTCTCGGGCACCTTGGCCTGCGGAGGCGAGAGACAGGGCCAGGTTTGCTGCAGGCAGAGACCCAAAGGAGACAAGGCCTCAGGAGAGGCTGGGGCCCAGTCCTGAGCCCAGAGGCCCAGCCCGGCCCAGCCACAGGCCTGACGGAGAGGCTGGTGCTGCTGACGACACCTGCCAGCGCTCACCCAGCGCGCTGGCCGGCTCCTGCCCCAATTTGTACATTAACTGCTCCCATCGCACACCCATCCCTGACCAACCCCACAAGGACATCGAAACGGAAGGCCAAGCGCACTGGCCTGCGGTTCAGGGCAGGATTGACCAGGGGAGCCCAGATCTGAGCTCTCCACCCCGCACTGACCGGCTTCCAGCTCCGGACACGAATGGTCTCCTTTCACCGCTTCCCCAGCTTGCCCTGGAGAAGCAGCCCAGGCAGGTTGTGGGCAGCAGGGCAGGAAAGAGACGGCCAGGCCTTGCGCCCCCTAGCTGAGTTACCCACACACACACGCTCCCCACCCCTGGCCGGGGCAGTTCTGGAAACGGGCGCTCTACGAAGGCAGGGACAGCAATTACCAGGTCAGACCACCCACAGGTGGTCAAGTCCTTCAGGCCCCACAAGGCCGGCTGACAATGGTCCTCGGGCAGCTCCATCTGAGCCCATCACCCTGGGCCTGGGATGGGGCCCTGGCAGGCTGACAAGGGGAGGGAAACCTGTGCCGGCCAGCCCTGCCTCTCGGCCCCAGCCCTGCCTCAGTGAGGGCCCGATGATGATGGAGTCCAAGAAGGGCTGGGGAAGCTCAGCTAATAGCAGTGTCAGCCCGGGGCTCCCACCCCAAGCAACTGAGTCAGAGAGCACTGGGGCAGCCACTTCCTTCTGGGGCCCCGGGCCTGAGCTGCCAAGGCCCACGTCCCCGGTGCCAGGGAGCTATGCCCGGGGCCTCTCCCTGGGGCAGGGGGAACTCAGGACAGTCCCCCGTCCCAACGCCCTGCCTCTGCCCTGGCTTCTGCGCACCACCCGGGGCCAAGAAGCCCACAGCCCTGCTAAGGAACAGCAGCAGCCAGACGGGGGGGGGGGGGGGGGACACGACAGACCAGGGGTCAGAGTGGAGCCCAGCTCCTACCTGTCTTGCCAGAGCCATGAGGCGGAGGGTCCCCGGGAACCAGGTGTGACAGGCAGTGGCCGAAGGACTGACACTCAGCTTTTCAATCCGGAGCTGGGATGTCCCGGCTGGCTCCAAGCTCCTCCCTCATCCCTCCCCACAGCCTCTGCCCCACCCCAGCCCCACTCCCTCCTGGATCAGCTGCCTGTACAGGAAATGAAGCACCTTAAACCCATAGGAAACCTCTGCCCTCCGAGATGGGGGTTCAACACCCCAAAGACCCATCCTCTCCGGCCATCAGCATCTGTGCCCACCCCGCCCAGCCCCACCTCCCACCTGGAAAGGAGCCCCCCAGGGAGCTCGCTGTCCGAGGCTGAGCAGACAGAGCTGGAAGGGAGTCTGCAGGAGCCACTTAGGTCTGGAAGCAGGGGGTGGGCCAGAGAAGCAGCGAACGGAAGAGCCAGAGCCGTGCCCCCCATGGCAGGCCTTTCGCAATCTCCCAGTGCCAGTGTGACAGGAATACCCAGTCCGGCCAAGTGGTTGGCCAATCTGAGGAATGCCCCGGGCCCATCATGACCTGGCAGGGCGTGGTTTGTCTATGAAACAGCCCTTCAAAGCGGCCGCCCCAGCCTGGGCACGCGCTGGAGCTGAAGCCTCGGGGCTGGCGCTGGGGGCTGAGGCCTCGGGGCTGGCGCTGGGGGCTGAGGCCTCGGGGCTGGCGCTGGGGGCTGAGGCCTCGGGGCTGGCGCTGGGGGCTGAGGCCTCGGGGCTGGTGCTGGGGCTGAGGCCTCGGGGCTGGCGCTGGGGCTGAGGCCTCGGGGCTGGCGCTCGGAGAGGGGCTCCCCCCCCAGGGCCCGGTTTGGGGAGTCTGAGCTGGAGACCCACTCCTTCCCCAGGGGAAGCCTCAGGAGGGGCGGGCGTCTGCCCCCTGCTGCCCTGGCGCTGGGGGAGCAGCGGAAGCCAGGAAGGGTTACAGGCACCGCAGCAGTGAGGCAGCGCCAAGAAGGTGACCAGACCGGGCCGCGTGCCTGCCCGCGGGCTGCCGCGCTGCCCCAAACAGGCCATGGCCGCCGAGAGCCCCTCAGGCACGGCCCGGACCCAGCCCTCACCCCCAACCACAGCCGCCGGAAGTTCTCACCCAGCCCGGCCAGCCCGCGGCCCGCAGAAGGCGCCTGGCGAGGGAGTCTCGCTCACAGAGCACGGCCATCTTTTATTGATCGTTTCCTGGGCGCCAGCCTCGCTGCCCCACAGATGCCATCCTCAGCGCTCACACCGCGGAGGGCGGAGCCATCACTGTTCACAGAGTCACGGGGCTCGAGGCGCTCGCTCGCTCACCGGGTCACTGGGTCACGGCAGCGAGGGTGCTGGGCCGGGCACCCTTCCGACCCCAGGGCAGGCCGCGGCCTCACCTGGGAGCCGCGCCCCTGCCAGCTCCCTCCTGCTGGCACCTCGGAGAGCTGGCAAAGCTGATCGCGAGCCACGCCGGGCGCACACTGACGCCACGTGGCCTCTACGCGCTGTCACTGGCAACACCCGTTCATCAGGCCAGGCCCGAGGCCTTGGTGAGGGCGTCGAGCAGCTGGAAGTAACTGTACCTGAGGTCATACTCCATGTCATACCAGAAGTTCACTGCGGGGAGAAGGAGACTGAGCAGGAGGGCCCCTCCTCCCCGGCCCCCCTGACCCGGCTCCCGATGCCTGCCCGGGCGGGGCTCCTCACCGGCGATGCAGGCCTGGGACTGCCGCACGTGGTGGAACCACAGGGCCGGCAGGTAGAGCAGCTCGCCGGCCCGCACCGTGCAGCGGAGGGCCCGGGCCTGGCTGTAAGCCGGATACCGAGCCAGGTCCGGAGCCAGCGGGTCCAGGGGGATCCAGGGCACCTGGGGACGCAGCGGATGTCGGGGAGCAGGCTCGAAGCCCCAGGCCCTCGAATCCCACCTTTTCCTAAGGTGACACCACGGGCCCCGCCCTGCTCGGCACCGGAGGCCCCAGGCTCCTCCCTTCCCTCTCCCTGGGCCCAGGACCACACACACCTTCTCCGTGGCCTCCTCGTCCACCATGTGGAAGGAGCCCTCCTCGGTGAGCCGGTAGGTTGCTGGCGTGTACATCTCTGAAACCAGAGGGAGAAGGTGTGGGGACCCGCACGCGGCCGAGTTTGCCAGCCACAGCCATGTACTCGCTCCCTGGGCACAGGGCAAGGTCAGGAGGCCCAGGGCAGCGGGCACCAGCCGGCCCGGGGCCCTGGCTGCCCATCATCCGCCTCGGGCTGCCCGCTCCCCGGGCCGCTGGCCGCGCCCCTCACCGTAGGGGATGAAGGGCCGGTCACTGGGCGGATGCAGCAGGAAGTGCTTCTCTCCCGAGACCACGCAGTACAGGTTCTCGTAGTGGTCCTTGTGCACTGCCAACACAGAGGGGCCCCGGGCGGGAATGAGGGGCCGGGCCCGGGAGGGCAAACAAGACAGCTTGCACCCCAAGACAGCTTGCGGGGTAAGAGAAGAGCATGTCAGAGCAGAGGCGAGGGGGTGCCTGGTGGGTGTCAGGCATTTCTGATCTCTGTCCTCCAGGGACTGACACTTGCCAGGCCCTGGGCTCATCTCCACTGAGGAGAATTCTAGCAAACAGAGCGGCCTTTGCAAAGCTCTCTAGGGACGGGAAGAAACAATGCCCTCACCCCTAAGGCTATGGTGCCCCCCCCCCCAAGCTGCCAGGGGGCCCCCTCTTGAGTCTGCGCCCAGAATCCCAGAAGAAATCTTAGAGAAACGTCAGTCTGACTTCCCTGAGGCCCAGCCTCCCGCTCTTGGTCTCCCCCCACCCGATACCTACAGGACGTCACGGCCGCCGCCTCCCCCAGCCAGAAGTTCACGGCGTCCGGCATCCTTCCTGCAGGCGGGAGGGGAGAGGGGGCTGGGAGGGTGGCCTGAAGGTGAGGCTCGGTGCTGGGCCAGGACTTGGGTGGGCCTTGGCAAGCTTTCCAGGGACCCAGCAGAAACAGGGAGAGAGCAGAGAGCAGGGGCAGAAGTGGCCCCCTCAAGGGGCAGCCACCTTCCCTTCCCGGGCAGGGAGCTGAGGCGGGGACGTGAGCGCTGAGCGCACAGCCCTGACCCTGCGGGGCCGGACATCAGTGGCGAGGAGAGCGGTCCCGCCTGCACTCACCCAGCGCCTCGGAGGCCCAGGGCACGTGGGGCTCCAGGTCGCCCAGCAGCTGGGGCAGCTCGGTGAGGAGGTTGGAGCACTGCTTCTGCACGTAGAGCACCCCCGGGTGCTGGGCCCGGCCCTCCAGCACGTCCAGCACGCGGCTCAGCGGCAGGCGGCGCTCGGCGGGCAGCACGAAGCGGCCCCCCCGCACGGCGTCCGCGTAGCCGTCCGGGGTCACGGCCACGCTCACCTCCGCGGAGCCCACGGTGGCTCTGGAAGAACGGACGTTCGGCCCCGGCCCAGAACCCTCCAAGCATAAGGTGACCAGACGTCCCGCTTTGGGAGGGGCAGTCCCGATTTTTAACAATTTGTCCCGCGGCGTTTTTAAAAAGTCCCGATTTTTTTAAAACGACGCGGGGCAGCCGAAACCGGTTTGGCTCAGTGGATAGAGCCTCAGCCTGCGGACTGAAAGGTCCCGGGTTCGATTCCAGTCAAGGGCATGTACCTTGGTTGCAGGCACATCCCCGGTGAGGGGTGTGCAAAAGGCAGCTGATCAATGTTTCTCTCTCATTGATGTTTCTAGCTCTCTATCCCTCTCTCTTCCTCTGTAAACATCAATAAAATATATTCTAAAAAATAAAAAATAAATCTGCCGAAACCGGTTTGGCTCAATGGATAGAGCATCGGCTTGGGGACTGAAAGGTCCCCGGTTCGATTCTGGTAAAAAGGGCATGTACCTTGGTTGCGGGCATATCCCCAGTAGGGGGTGTGCAAGAGGCAGCTGATCGATGACTCTCTCTCATCGATGTTTCTGTATCTCTGTATCTCTCTCCCTTCTTCTCTGTACAAAATCAATAAAATATATAAAAAAAAAATAAAAAAATAAAAAATAAAAAATAAATGAAACGCCGCGGGCACATTGTTAAAAATCGGGACTGTCCCGCCAAAAGCGGGACGTCTGGTCACCTTGACAAGCACCGCCCACCTCCCGCCGGGGCCCACCTGAGGTAGGGGAGCGACCACTTCCGGAGGGCCGGCCAGTGCTGCAGGGCGTTGCGGACGATGCAGGGCCTGTTGGGACAGACCCAGTCCCGGTAGAAGTGAAGCGGGGTGGGGGGCTGGTCCAGGTAGGGCACGGCGAGAGGCACGGTAAGCTCTGAGAGAGAAAGAGGGGGGCGGGGCTGAAGCCAGGAACATCCCGCTGCTGCCCCGCTGTCTGCATCAGGGAGGCCACGGGGACAATGCCCACGGGGGACCAAGGGATCCTGGACAATCAGAAACTGAAGCATGAGGGTCAGTGAAGGGGGAAAGTACAGCGTACTCACAAACACGCCACTATGGGCCACAGAGCAGACAGGGCCAGGACCGCTGTGCAGCCCATCATCAGACCCTCCGCGGGCCACGCCCGCCTGTACCGGGCCACGCCCGCCTGTACCGGGCCACGCCCGCCTGTACCGGACCCTCGGCTTTCCCCCTCTGGAGCGGCCGAGCTCCTGGCGTCCAGTACGGGCAGCCACTGAGGTGGCACCGGGAGCTCAGGAGCAGAGCTGAGGCCCCGAGGCTCAGGGTGGGCCGAGGCTGTGTAAAGCGCCTTCCGACAGTGATCCTCACTGCGCACCTCGCATGTGCTCAGCACTCGGCCTGGCCAATGTGGAGGCAACAAGGGACGAGCCGATCATCATCTCAGGGAGCTCACAGCCTGTGAGGAGACAGACTGCCTCCCAGAACCACAGGAGGGAGGTGAGCAGCACCCCCTCCTCAGACACCAGGGCGCCGCGGGCTGTGCTGGAGTGGTCCTGGGTCACCTTCTCCCTCACTCCTGTCCTCCTGCTGATTGTCTCCGAGTCCTAGTGATCCTACCTCAAACCACCTCCCCTCTCCCCCCTGCTGGTGTTCACATTCACTAACCTCCTTGGGGTCCTCAAATGCCACCTCAATGAGGCTTCCCTCCGTGGCCCCCTCTTTTTTATTTATTGGGGTGACACTGGTTCCCAAAAACCATACAGGTTTCAAGTGTGTAACTCAACGGAGCACCATCTGCACAGTGTGCCCACTGCCCCAAGCAAAGCCTCTTTCCACCCCCTCTTCCCCTTTGACCGCCTCTGCCTACTTTGACCCCCCTTCCCTCTGGCTATCACCACTGCTGTCTGTGGTTATGGGGGTTTGGTTTTGTTTTGTTGTGCCTGTGTGGTTTCTTGTGGGGTTTTTTGCTTAATCCCTTCACCTTCTTTCATCCAGTCCTCCAACCCCTCCCTCCCCCGCCCCTCTGATAGCTATTAGCCTGTTCCGTGTATCTATGCCTGTTTCAATTTCATTCAGCAACTTATTTTGTTCACTAGATTCCACATGTGAGATCATACGGTATTTGTCTTTCTCTGACTGGATTATTTCACTTGGCATGATAATCTCCTGGTCCATCCATGCTGTTGCAAAAGGTAAGATTTCCTTCTTTTCTTATGGCTAAGTAGTATTCCATGGTGTAAACATACCACAGCTTTTTTACCCGCTCATCTACTGATGGGCACTTGGGCTGCTTCCAGATCCTGGCCACTGTAAATAGTGCAGCAGTGAGCCAGGCCACCCTTTAGAAACTGTCACCTTCTCCCAGTAACCCTTCCTTGATTTTCCTTTTTTTTTTTTTTTTTTTAACTTGATTTTAGAGAGGGAGAGAAACATCGATGTGAGAGAGAGACATAAATGGATTGCCTCCCGAATGCACTCCAACCAATGACTGAACTCAACCAGGGATCAAATTTGCAATCTAGCCGAAACCGGTTTGGCTCAGTGGATAGAGCATCGGCCTGCAGAATGAAAGGTCCCAGATTTGATTCCGGTCAAGGGCATGTACCCTGGTTGCGAGCACATCCCCAGTGGGGGGTGTGCAGGAGGCAGCTGATCGATGTTTCTCTCTCATCGATGTTTCTAACTCTCTATCCCTCTCTCTTCCTCTCTGTAAAAAAATCAATAAAATATGTATATTTTTAAATTTGCAATCTAGATTATGTGCCCTGACCAGGAACCGAACCTGAGACCTCCCAGTGCACAGGACTACCCTCCAACCAAATGGGCCACATCAGCCAGGCCCCTTTACTTTTCTGTCATTTGTCACCACCTAACACACATCTATTTCACTTGTCCAGCTGTTGACTCCCTCTTGGTAGAATGTGAGCTCCTGAGGGCAGAGCTGCTTGTCTTGCTCACTGGCACATCCCAGGAACTGGAGTAGTACCGAGCACACAGGAAGTGTTCCCCTAATATTTGCTTAGTGGTTGAATGAAAGTCCCCAACATCTCCTGGCAGGATGGTTGTTAAAGTGAACTAACTTGTTTCCTTGGCTTAATTCTACTTCCTCTCAAAGCATCACTCACCCTGGCCCCAGTCATTTCCTAAAATGCAATCTCATCTTGTCACACCCCCTGTAAAATGATCCTCTGATGACTTACCACTTACTCCTTACAGAGTACTGCCTGCCTCGTCATGCATTCAGGCCCCGCCTCCTCTCCCCGCCGGGTTTCCTCCTGTCTGTCTGGTGCCTGCTCCTACCCACACACACCTCAGGCAGTACCCAACTTTGTTCCTACCGCTCACTCAGTCTAGAATGCCTCTCTCCTGGCTTTTATAAAGGGCACAGGGCTTTACTTTGTGATTTTCATCCTTGAGGTCTAGCCTGAATGCCTTAAACCCCATCACCACCACCACCATCACCATCACCACCACCACCATCACCACCATGGGTGGTTACCACCTCCGGCTCCAACCGGCCACTGCGTTCATTTTCCCCTCCGAGGTCATGCTCTGTCTCTCACACCCGCATCTCCCTGGTCATCTGTGCCTTGCTTCGCGATCAGTTGGAAAGTGAATGTCATTAGATCAAAACTTGGAACGGAGTGGAAAACAGACCCTGGTGGGCCAGGAAATGAAAGAGCTGGCATGTGTGCTTGCTTCGCGGACCAGAGGGTAAGATGAAACCTGCCGCGCAGGTAAGGGAGCAGAGGGAAGCAATTGGCGAAGGGCCTTCCCAGTCATGTCTCCTGGAGTGGGGATGGGGTAAGATGGGGCTCAGTAAACCTTCCCATTGTCCTCACTGGGATGTTTTAAGTACAGGAAAACTGACTTTTTTCCTTTTTTAACCCTTTGTACCTTCTGTAGTTACTTCAGCATTTAATAGCTTTTCCTGTCGAGCAGGAACATCGGCCTGCGTGTAAGGCAGGGCATATAAGGCCCATGACATCATGTGGGCCGGCCCTGCCACGGCATTCGGGGTGAGTTAATTAAAGGTTTGACCAAATACAGCAGGCTAATTTTTAAGTTGATAATTTTGTAGGCCCCAAGAGTGATGTTATAAATACCCAAGGCTGATAGGTAAATCAAGGTTCCCCACCCCTGCTTTAGCGAATGGCCACTCTTTTCTCCTGGGTTTTCAAAGTGAGGGGACTTCAAAAGGGATCCGAACAATTCCTTTGGCCAAATTCTTCTGCTAGGAAATTTAGCCAACAAACATCCTCACGGTGCACGAAGACGCTGCCCCGGGCACAGGGCCTCTTCCCTGTCCCTGGAGCTCACAGGCACTCCCCGCGCAGGGCGTTTGCCTGTGCCTGCCCTCTACCCCAATGCTCTCCTCTCCTCTCCTCCCTCAAGCCTGTGCCCCAAGGTAGCCTTATTCAGGAGGCCCATCCTGACCATCTTATTGAAATTTGTAACCTGCCCTTCAGCCCTGTATACTGAGGTCTATCATTCCGCGTGGTCCCCCGCTTCCCCATAGCACTTATCCTGTCACACATTTCTCTATAATTTACTCATTCAGGTGCCTATGACTCACAGTGTGTCTCCTCGCTTAGAACTGTAAGCTCTCTGAGGACAGAGATCTGTTTTGTTCAGTGATGTGTCCTAAACACACGGAACAGACACACTGACACACTGACGTGCTTTAAGTACAGTCATGGGCCACTTAATGTTTTGATCAACAATGGACTGCAAAGACAACGGTGGTCCCATCGGTTTGTGGTGATGCCGGCAGTCACATAAAAGTACGTATAGCACATGCAATTACAGCAGCAGGCTATAATACGCAGGTTTGCGTGAATGCACTCCATGACGCTTGCACAACAATGCAATGACCTGGCCTCACGTGCAGCACATGACTTTATCTATTAAGTGAATGCTCAAAGTATTCGTTGCAGCACTACTGAAAACAATAGATTGGAAATGATTGTCTCATAAGAGTGGGCTGATTAAGTAAATTACAGCATTAGTACCCAGGTGTGAAAAAGATTTCGATACAGGGATCTGGAATGTTCTCCAAGATACATTACCCAGAAGAGTATTTTTAACTATCATTTGTATAAAAAGGGAGGTATACAGTTTTGTGTGTGGATACAAACAGCATTCTTTTTTTTTTTTTGTTTTTTTTTTTTTTGTTACTCCTCACCCAAGCATATTTTTTCCACAGGTTTTTTGGGAGAGTGGGGGACACACATAGATTGGTTGCCTCCTGCACAAGCCCTTGACCCGGAATTGAACCAACGACCCTTCGGTGCACAGGCCGACGCTCTAACCCGTGAGCAACACTGAGCCACACCGGCCAGGGCGAAGCAGTATTTTTGGAAAGATGCAAGCTGGGGCTTAGAATGGGGGGAAAGCTTACTTTACGTTATAAATCCGTTGTTTTTTAAGTCATGTGCCCATGTGCTGTTCACTGGTGAGAAATCGCTTAAAAATAGAAAGGGGAGAACGGAAGGAAGGGGAAAAGAAGGGAGGAAACAAAAACCAAGCAGCTGGGGCCGGGGATCACTCGCACAGCTGCCCACTCTCCCGGGCTCTGCGCCGCCCGGCGGGGAGGAGTCCGTCCTGGAAGAGGTTCAGAGGGGAACCCCACCTTAAAGACTTCGCGAAGGAAAGGGCGGGAAAGGCAACAGCCCCTGATTATTGGGCGCGGCTGGCTGCGGGGAACAGGGCGGCACCGGATGAATGGTCAGTCCCCGCAGGAACCCACCGGGCTGTGCAAACACGGAGGAGGGCTGGGCACGCCCACCGGGCTGGGGGGGTTCGGCAGGCAGTGATCAGAGGAGGCATCTACCAGCTCCGCGCACGAGGTTTGGCTCCTCGCGGGTAAGAACTAGGGCGCCCGGTGTCAGCGGCCCAGGAGGCACCGGGGCCACGCGACTCAGGGACCCGGGCGGCAAGCCCACCGCCCCGCCCGCGTCCTGAGACTGATGTGCAGTCACCGCCGGACACCGCAGCCGAGCGAACCCACTCACCCCGCACCGCCGCCGGGAATTCTCGTAACTCCCTCCGCACGGCGTCCAAAGCCGCCTCCGCCATGACGCCGCCGCCGCCCCGCCCTCCCCGAGACTCCACCCCTCCCGAGGCCCCGCCCCCCTGAGACACCACCCCTCCCGAGGCCCCGCCCACCCCTCCTGAGACTCCACCCTCCCGATGTCCCGCCCACTCCTCCTGAGACCCCACCCCTCCCCGAGGCCTCGCCCCCTCCGAAACCCGCCCGCCCCTCCCCGAGGCCCCGCCCTCTCTGAACCCCGCCCCGAGGCCCCGCCCTCCCCGAGGCCCATGCCAGGGCTCCAGCTCCTCGCACTCCCCACGACTTTGTCCGCTGCCTGGACGAAGCTCCCTTCTCCGCCGGACCCACTATCCATGCAGCGAGCGAGAAGCACCTGCTGTTGTCTGCCCCACTTGCTGGCGTCAGAAAGTTAACAAATGATTGTTTATTGACCAGTTCATACATCAATACAAACTGACATGTTAAAAACAGCCCCTGCCCCGTAAGACCTGGGGAGGGGGAAAGCGCCAGGGCCTGGACAAAGTATAAAAGTTATAAATAAGGACTTTCAAAACTGGGTCAGGGCAAATCTGAACAAGAACGGCAACTGCCAGTGGCCTCAGACATGCAGAAGGGGATGGGCACCGGCCAGGCCACAGGATTCCCCACCTTCCTGCCCCCCCAAACGCTGGGCTAGGAGTAGGAAAGGGTGGCCACCTTCCCACAAACATTAGCTGGAGGATTGCTTCCTCCTTGAGAGGGACAGGCTGGCTAAGTTTTACTAAGAACCCAGCCAGCCCACAGGGCCCAGGCTGAGCCCTGTTTGGGATGGGCTGTGGCCGGTATGCCAGGTGGGGCTGGGGTACGGGTGGAAGTGTTTCTAACCCTGACTAGCATAGCTGCAGCCCTGCCAGGGGGTCCGTCAGAGGGAGAGTTCTTGGGCTCAGGATTTCTCTGTAGATTAGCTATAGAGGTGGTGGTGGTAGAGAAGAGTATGGGGTGAAATAGGCTTCATCTGTTCAGGTGCACTCAGGCTGACCCAGAGCTGGGCCCCCTTCAGAATCCAACTTCTTTCTAAGCCTCTGCCTAGTCAGTAGGGCCCAAAGGCCTGTCCATAAGAGAATGAGCTTTTGTGGCCTGGAGTTACATACAGTAAAGCTGCCCTGCCTTACCTGAGGCAGGGGAAGCAGAAGGGCCAGAGACACGTTCTTCACCCCAATACGTCAATAACTGCTCCACTACTTGGTCCTACTCTCCCTGCCCACTGTGCCCTATCCCCTTCCCCTCACCCTGAACTGCCCTTCCGATTCTCATTCATCCCCTCACCTCTACCACTTACCTGTCCCTCCTACCTCCTCTCCAGTGTGTCTCTGGGCCCTGCTGCAACCCCATGTGTCTCCTCCCCTCAGCCTCCAGGATCAGAGCACCCTGGGAGCCCAGCACTACCTTTGAGGAGGCTCCTTCTACCCAAACCGAGTATCCTTTGGGCCATCTCATATCATCTTGACTGTGGACACCAAGAACCCAGAATTTGGGTTTAGTGTGTTCCACCTTTTCATGCTTCTTGATAGGCATTTCACATGAGCCAGAGTGGTGAAGATGGGGCAGGATATGAGAGGAAACTAGGCACACATGAGTCAGTCAAGTACTCTAGCAATGAACATGCAACAGGTGGTGTGTGTGTGTGTGTGTGTGTGTGTGTGTGTGTGTGCATTTCATCTGTGGCCAAGGTCTTTAGAAGGTGGGCCAGTGCCCTGTAAACCTCGAGGGAAACTCTAACACAGGCTTCTAACTGAGCATCACTCAGGATGCAGGGAGATGGTGGCCTCTGGGCTTCAGCAGCCTGCTGGGGACCAGAGTTGGAGGATAGGAGAGGCCAAGGGGCTGAGGAAAGGAGCCAGAGCTTCATGTCTGCCTAGCAGAGGCTTTACTGTCCTGCAGTAATGTCCCACCGCTGGCTCCACAAGTTCTGGCCAAGACAGAAAGGGGGCACAGGGAAAAAGACAATGCTAGGGCCCTCTTGGAGGGGGAACAGGAGTGGAATGTGGGGGCTTGGGCCTTGATACATTCTTGATGGCTGGGAATGCCCCAGAGGGCCAGAGGGCTCTGCCTTTCTGAACTGCCAGGAACTGGAGAAAAGTGGATAAACCCTGCTCTGGCAGCCAGAAGAGTGAAGCTGGTGTGGGAGGGGAAGTGGAGATAGAGGAGAGGCTCCGCTATTGGCTGAGGGTATTGAATACCGCATTACCTCTCACCTCTACCTACAAAATACCCTGTGTGCGCGCTCCACCCCAGGGAGCCGATCCCTGCAGAAATTTCAAATGGCTTCTAAGAAGAGAGAGGGCCAGCCCTTCCTGATCTCCCCTAGATAGGGCAGGCCACCCTCCTACTCCTCACAGCACCAAGATGACAAAAACCCAAGACCTAACCCCTGCATGAGCTACCAGAGGAGTTGTGGAGGCAGGAGTTCCAAGAAAGTGAGGCAACAGTCAGGGGAATAAATTAATAAATACAGGGCTCCATGAGGAGCAGCTGGGAAAGCTGCTTCCCCTGAGCATTGATCACTGTGTCCAGTCCAAGCATCCCCACAGGTTTCAGGTTTCAGTGAGTGGAGAGGGGCTGGTTTGGAACAGGGGGAGCATTCACTTGGGACAGGCTTCTGGAGTTCAAAGTCTGCGTTCCATGCGACGCTCCACAGCTCGAAGCAGCAGCTCTGAGTATTGCTCTAGCAGGGCCTGTGTTTGCTCCGCTCCCACGGCCCCAGGGCTTCCACCGGGGCTGGGCAGCACTGTCCCGGCCAGGGCCTCTAGCTCCTGCCGCACTGAAGAGAAGGTGTTTCTGAGGAGCTGGGTGATGCGACTTTGCTCCACCGAGGGTGTCTTGCAGCTAGCCACCTGCAACAGGACCCCAGGAGAGGGTTGGAGGAACAGTGGAGGGATCAGTCAACGAACATATGAAAAGGAGGGGCTCCACCTGGGAAGCCCACCCCCAAAGAAGGGACTCCATGCCCAGCTGTGTGACTGGGAACTCCACACTCCAAGATGATGGAGGCAGACTCTGGAGTGACCCAAAAGCGGAGCTCATCACAGGATGGCACCATCTGAATTTTGTTAACTCCTCTTTTAAGGTGAATAGTCCAGGGCAGCCAAATAGTTTTTATATATGAATAGGGATATTATTAATAATTATAATGGGACAAGAGGCATAAACTGGGATGTCTTAAGCAAACTAAGACACATGGGCTCTCTACCCTGCTTGCTGATCTGAGAAAGTCATTAACTCCTAGTCAGAAACAACCAGTAAGTGCTGGATTCAAGTGACCTGACCTGGTCTCTAATCCCTTTGTCTCCTCTGCCCAGGATGTTCTTGATTGCTCCACCCCCATCAGTGGAAGAGCCTTTTCATTAGATTCTGGATACTGAGCTAGCACTCCGGACGTGCCCTGTCTCCCCGCCGGTGGGTGCCCAACACGTACCAAGCGGTAGAGCTGCACAGCCTGGCGCACACTGCCCTGGAGCTCTGCCACAAGCTGCTCGCACTGCTCCAGGCTCACCACTGGTTCTGGAAGAGACAGATACAGCTCAGGCCCAGCCAACCTGCCCTTTCTGGCCTCCCCACCCATGGCTGCTCAGAGCAAGACAGGCTACCCTCCAGCACCATACCCCCTCCACTTGTCCTCAGTCTCTTCCTCTTGCCTCTTCCTCCCAACGCCCTCCCGACAAACAGAAAATAAGGTCCAAAGGAAAGGGCCAGTCCCAGAGGCCAGAGGGCACTGAGGTCAAGTGGGTCAGAGAGCTCATGAAGGTTGGCAGGAGTGTCTCACCATCAGGGGTGTGACTTATGGACCGAGACAGGAGCAGACAGGACGAAAAACGCCAGAGGCTGGACGCACAGAAATGGAATGGAGCCAGAGAGCGGCCAACAGAGACGGGAGAGAGAGGATGGGGCAGGAGATGAAAGCTGGGGAGCTGTGCACACCTGAGGCCTGGCTTAGGGCTGCCCCTGGCCTGGTGCATTCCATGGGGCTGGGAGTCTTCTCAGGGGGTGGGGGCTGCAAGTTCTCGGAGTCTTGGAGGAGGCTGCCGACCGGCAGGTGCTGGGCACAAGGGCTGTAGGACCCAGGTTGAACCTGGCACTCGGTCCTAGGCCAAGGAGGGGTACCCTCCCCTAAACAGGCCTGTCTCTCAGATGGACTGTGAGCCTTTCCTGGGCCCCCTGGGGAGCCAGGCTGTTCTGCCTCACTAGGGGTCCGGCCCTTGATAACAGGTGAGAAGGTGGCCAAGGTAGGACGATCAGGCAGCGGCTTTGGAATGTCCAGGACCAGGTGAGCCCGGCTGGGCAGGGCCAGCTGCCTGAGTGGTGGGACCCGGATGGGGGCAGGAGCTTGAGGTTCAGCTGCCAGGCCCAGGTTCTCCCCAACAGAGATGCTGCGGGATATCTTGGCCTTGGAACTGGTGGTGGGGTTCTGGTAGGCGTGGGGCCGAGACAGAGACAGACGGTCATCAGCCTGGGGCGGGGAACGTAGGTCCTCCTGGGCTTCCATCTCCCGCAAGTGCAATGGGCCTGGCAGAAGAGCCCCACCTACAGAAGAGACAGAATATATGCGGGTGAGGTGGTAATGAAGGTGTCTCAGATGCCAAGGCTCCATTCCCAAAGACCAGCTGAGCCTTGCACACGCCCACTAAAGCAGTGGGCACCAACCGGTGGTCCGCGAGGTCTGCAAGGTTGGCGAGCGCTGCACTGAAGGACACCCAGATGGCGCAGAGGCGGCATCAGGCCCTCCTTCCTCTAGCAGCTCATGCTCCACGCCCCACATGCCACCAGCTCCTCACCCTGTGGCGCCAGGCTCTGCATGGACGGGGCTTTCTGGAGTCCACACAAGGGGTTGGCTGTGGCCATGCTCTTGGAGATCCAGCTGCTGTCCGCATTGACCCGGCGGCGAGGCAACAGCACAGGGGCTGCCTGCGGACTGGGGTGTCTAGGGGAGGGCTCCACCTCGGGGGGTGCTCCTGGAGGATTAGCACCATTGCCTCTCAGCTGCTCACCAGAAGCCTGCGGCACCTGGACTGGCTGCAATGTCAGTGCCAGGCTTGAGGAAGACGGGGACGGTTCCCTACAGGAAGGAAAAAGGGGAAAAGGACTGGAGGAGGAAGATGGGAGGCGCTCTCACAGCACTAGGGAGCACTAGGAGAGGGCAGGCAGGCATAAAGCCAGCCAAGGCAGTTGTCCTATAACTTAGGAGTGCAAAATACCGGAAGGTATGGGAGGCCTCAGGGAGAGGAGGGCTCCATGCTGTCCCAGGGGCAGGCCTGGGGGTCAGGAGAGTGGAGCTCCTTGTGGCAGAGGGAGAGCTGCTGTGGGAGTACCTGAGTGGGGGCGTCAGCACTTGCAAAAGGAATCGTGAAGAGATGCTCTGAGACTCTGTCCTCTCTGGTACCCGGACTGGGCCCCCTGCCAGGGTGATAGAAATTGTGAACTGAAGCAAACCCTTGCCCCAGATTCTACCCCCTGGAGAAGGCAACCGCAGAGCATGGCCTGCCCTTGGACCTTCCCGTTCAGCCAGGCAGAGGGGAGCAGTGCTGACTGGAGGCCCTACATCAGCCCTGTGACCACACCTGGAGCAGCCCCATTGGCCAGAGTCTCAAAGTGCTGTTTTAGAAACTGCTCCTGGTCCGGGGTACAGGGGCTGCCTTCCTGCAGCTCATAGGGACCAGCGCCTCCCTCCTCTTCCTCCTCTTCGTCCTCGCCCTCAGCTGGCTCTTCGAGGTCTGAGGAAATGCCATCCACACTCAGGGGCTCCGTGCTTTCAGAGTCTAGAAGCGGAGGAGGGGACAAAGGCACCATGCTGTACCCATCTGCACCAGAGCCTCCACGCTACCTCAGCCCACAGACCTGTCTGGTTCTGGGCTTCCCTCAAGGCTGCAGCCTCACCTTCATTGGGGTGCTCAGGGCTGGAAAGGCGGCTGCTGCTATAATCCACAGAGCAGGCACTGTCAGGGCTGTGCTTCTCTGAGCCCCTGTTGCCTGGATACACTCTTCCCACGGTCCCTCGAGCTGGTGCCTGCACCTGGAACTCACTGCCAGGAAGGCCAGCAGTGGAGGAGGAATGAGCAGAGTTTAGCAGCAGCCCCCCTAAACTTCTGCCTTCCTTCTCCCCCACCTGTGACAGGACTGGGGATGAGGAAGTAGTGACATGAGAGGCAAGCCCCACGGGAAGAGAAGACAGTGGGCTGCATGTCCCCAGGGGTCTGGCGGTGGCAGAACCCTTGCCTGGTATCCAGGGTGGGGCTGTCACTCGGCTCCGGGTAGACAATACCATCTTCGGTGGGTGTTGGCTCCAAATCTTGGGGAAAGACCCCTTCCTCTTGGGACAACAACCGGATAATGTGGGGGCAGGAACAGGGTTGGGAAGGGTAAGGCTGAGAGGACTTTTCATTCTGGAAACACACAAAGGAGTATTACTGGGGTTGATATGACAAAGGCTCTGGGAAAGAGGAGAAGTGGACAAGGTTTTGGTGGGCCCCAACCCTGGGAAAAGCTGAATATCCCAACTAAGGATAGACACCAGGAAGCCAGGCTGGTGTTCCTGAGCTTTTAGAAGAACTACATTAGCACTCTGACTGCAAACCTCCATCCACCACGTAACATCTTCAGCCTCCCAAGGAACCTCTCCCAAGACAATCACACAGCCTGGCCAGCCCCACCCTGAATCTGCAATTTGGGTTACCCATGAGCCACAGGGGCAAAGCGAGCATTACTGGACCAGTGCTCAATTCCAGCTGTTGGCTAAGGCTGCTTGGAGATCTCTAGGGAACTAGGAGAAACTGGCTCACCTGTAAGGTTTCAGGGGCCTGCTGACCATGCTTCCCAGAACCAGATGAGGTCCTGGCCAGAGAGTCCCTGCTAGGAGCCCTAGAGCTTGGAGCCAGTGTCTCCAGCTGCCGCAAGTCCAACATGGAGCGAACGCTCAGCTCCGCGCCTGACTGAGCCCAGCGCCCCCTTCTCCTGGGTCCTTGGTTGGCTGCAGGAACTGGACCCAGGAACTCCACTGTCTCTTGTGCCTGGTGTGGGGCAAGAGTGTGAGAGGTGTAACAGTATCAAACCAATCACACAAGAGTTTTAGCAAACGTTTCACATATCACAGACTGTGTGCCAGCCACTTTTCTTGTATTAGCTCATTCAAACCTCACAACCATCTAATGAAGTAGGTACCAATATTATCCCCATATTTACAGATGATGCAAAGCAGGCTTAAGTAACTTGCCCAAGTCCCACAGACAGTAGGTGGCCTGCCTGTAGGTTATATCTCGGGTAGTCTGGCTCCAGAGTTCATACTCTTAGCTCCACTCTATGCCCTGTCTTAGAGAACCTTCTGGTCTAAGTCTTCATCTGGTATTATGGACACCTCATAATTTCAGCCTCCTGTTGGGGCTGAAAGCAGCCCCAACAAGGACCCCAAGTCCACAGCACCAACAACAAACCAACTGCCCAGCCTTGAGACACCTGGCCTGGTCACAACGCACCAGGGACCCCGCACCCTCCTCCCAGGTGTCTGCTGCGGGACAGTGAAAGGCGCTCGCGCTTGAAATCCCGACATGGACAGGTGAGGGCTGAGCTGCCGTGGGCCTTGCTCGGAAAGCCTTTACCCCCCTCCGGCTACGCCGCCATCTGGGAGTTTCGAACTTACTTCCTCCCCTGGGATCTTCAGAACTATAGTTCCTCCACATCTCTGCTCTTTGGGTTTTTGATTTTCTTGAACTTTACTCTAACCATCTGACTCAGAAACCCCCTTTCTACTCCCCACCTCAACCTGTTCTTTGTTCACATTTACTCCAGGCCCCCAGGCAGCTGAACAAGCTTCCCCTAGCGGTGACTGATCCTTGGGGGCCCCTCATCTGGCCCACAGGAAGGGAACACCTGAGCTTTATCATCCCCAACCTGGGACCACCTAGCCACCCAAACTCCTCCCACAGGCTCTTCCTTGGACACAAAGGGTGGAGCATGTGGGAAGACCCCACAGGCAAATGCCTTGCCAAGCCCGGAGAGCCCGCTTTCACCTTCCTTCACCCCTGCAACACTGGAAGGGCACTTTAACAATGGTAACTCACCCGACTCATTTCCCAGTGGGACAGGCTTCGGGGCAGGGCTGGGCTGGGCACCAAGGCTAGACAGAGACAGGCAGTCAGGGAATGTCTCCTGCCCACCCACCCCAGAGCCCTGGCCCCACACCAGTCCATACCCTATGTGGCCACAATGATGCTCCAGTTTCCTCAGCTCACATTGCTCTTAGCCCCACAGCCCCAGAAAGAGTATACCCAGCCACTACACCCACTGGTGCCTGCTAGCCCCAGCCAGACTTCCACAGACCTGGTTCTTTCTTGGTGCCCTTGGCAAGGATGGGCAGAGCTGGAAGTTCTTCTTCTTCAGTGCACTCATCTTCTCCCTCCTTGTCACTGTCTGATGAGAGAGCTGGTCCAGAAGAGAGCATCGATGGGGCCTCGTGCCTGAGTCCAAGACAAGGAAGGTCACGGAAAAAGAGAGCAATGTCATAGGTCTTCATGTGACCAACAGGTATTGGGGGATACAGAGTTGCTGAATGGCAGGTCCGGAGCAAAGAGGAGCAGTAAGATGACAGCAAGCAACGTGGACGCCCACCCACTGCTGGCCCATATCCCAAACTCTGTTCTCACCGACTGGGTCCAGCCGCCCTTTGGGGAGAGGATGGTCCTTGCTGCTTGACCCCTCGCTGCCGCTGGCGTAGCTCAGCGAGACGCTGCCTCATGCTGATGGTCATCTCAGAGCTCAGGCGCCACACAAATATGCAGCTGGGGAGAGCCACAGACTTGTGTGAGGGTGGGTGGAGGGCAGAACTCTGGGGCAGCAACACTATTAGTTCCCCTTCTCCATGGGCTGACAAGGAGACCAGAGCCACCCTGTAATGCCGGCTCAGGTCCAGCCAAGAAATACCCCTGTTCAGCCCTGCTTCCCAGAGACATCATGAGGTGAAGAGGGGGAGGGGGCGGGGAGAGAAGATGTGCTGTGGCTTCTGCTCACCTGTCCCCTGACACAGAGATGAGATGCTTGCAGTCATTGCTAAATTTCATGCCAGTGACAATCTCTGTGAAGAACAAAGAATATGGCCTATGAGCTCCTGAAGTCCCAGCCAAGCTTCTATTCCAACAGTGGAGGTCAGGGTTGGTTGGAAAGGAGGGCCAGGTAGTTCTGATAAGTCCCAAAAAAAACTAAAGGAATAGAGCCAAGTTCCAGTGGTAGAGTATTGGGGCTACACTCACCTGAGTGGCCAAACATGGTGGCCACACACTCGCCTGAGGAGAAGTCAAAAATGGAGAGGTTCTTGTCAGAACAGCTGGTGGCAATGTAGATCCCTGAGGGGTCTGTCTGCACCTGAGGAGGGGGACACACAGCTGGGAGAAGATAGGAAGCACTGGTTCGCCTCCACCTAGCACCCCATCCTCCTGTTCTCTGGCCCAGAGCCCATCTATGGCCCTTACCTTAATCAGGGTGCCATCCTCACCCTGCGACCCTTTATACAGCTTCTTCTGCTTCCCGCTGCTGATGTTAAAGATCCTGTGAAGAAGCACATTCTCAGTCACAGGAGGAAGAGTCATCATCAAGCACACCTGAGTGGCAGAAATGCCAGAATTCACACCTCTATAGGAGCCACTCCCCTAACCAAAGGGACCACCACCCTTGGGTGAGGCAAAGTACTCATTCCATAGGCTCAAGGGGTCACAAAGTCCTGGACAAAAAGGCAGACGTGGGGACTGAGGAGTCTAGAGCTGACCCCTTTGGGCATCAAGGAATGTGGTCAGATGGTCTGAAAAAAAGATGCCCACCGAATATTTCGGTCCTGGCAGCCAATAGCCGTGTACTTCCAGCTGGGCTCCACGTCCATGTCATAGAGGGTCGTCTTCCGTACCACGTGGTGTGTCCGTGTAAACTGGACTCCATCTCCAGACTGCAGGGGTGGAACATATGGACAGACCCCAAGCCCAAATGTCTCACCAGGCCCAGAGAGCCCTGCTTTCTCTCTTCATCTCTCATAACCTCTCATAACCTCAGGTCCGGGAATGGGAGAGACCCCCAGCACCCTCACTGTGCCATTCAAGGAAACCCATCCCTCACCTTCTGTGCAGTGCGGAAGTAGATGCTCTTGTCTGCTCCACAGCTGATCATGCGGACTTGCCCATCACTGGCTACAGAAGAGAGAGGCCTAGTTATTCCCACTGTTCTCACCACGCGGGGCCAGCTTTTCCTCTGCCTTTCCCCCATACTTCCCCGCTACTGAGCTACTCTACATGACTGGGACAACCAATTAAATAGGATGCTTACCTCCAAACCTGGGCTTTCCTTTACCCCTCTCCTCAGCCAACCTGGCTGGCTCAGGATGCCCCGGACTAAGAGTTTACATTCCACCTGCCTTCCCATCCAGCCCCAGGCCTCCCAGCAGCTGTCCAACATTCCCCATGATAGGCACGCCCCTCTCACAGAGGTGGAAGGCGGGTGGCAGTGGGGAGAGGGGTAAGGATGATGGTGGTAGGTGGCAGAATGTGTATCAATTACCCAGCCCCCACCTGCAAATTTGACAGCAGTGATGGAGGACGAGTGCTCGTCCAAAGTCTGCTGTAGGCTATACTCCCGTCCAGCATCCAGTACATGGATCAGCCTGTCCCGGCTCGCTGACGCTAGCAGCTTCAGACCTGGGGTTAGAAGAACTTGTCAGCCCACAAGTGCCCAGAGCAGGCCCTTACCCGAGCCAGGCAAAGAGGCCTGCAGTAACTGAGCCCCAGGGAGCAGAGATGGAGCTGTCCTCCTCCAAACCTGCAAAGACACCAAATGATTCAAAGGACTTTCAGTCTCACATCCAAGAGCCAGGACAGAGTGAGTGGCCCTAGCAGGATGGGAGGAGCCCTGTGCCACTCTGGGCTAGGGACCAGGTATCCTCCTGACCTGTGTCTGGCTTAGAGTACTCCAGGCACAGAATTTCTGAGTCATGGGCCTCCACCTTCAGCATCTCACTGAGCGACTGCAGCTCGTGCACCCTGCAAAAATGAGGAGAGGTCATTGCCAGGTTCAGAAAGAGGATTCACGCTGTTTTCTCTGGTACAACCTCTCCCCCAACCTTTTCCAACATTTACTATTTTTTTTTTAGGCTTAGAGAAAGTTGTAATAAGTACAGTTTCCATATTTCCTTTACCCAGCTCTCCCAAATGCACACAATGACCAAAGCCAGGAAATTTACATTCATACAATACTAATAATAAAAAGCTTTACTTGAATTTCACCAGTTTTTTCACAACGTTCTTTTTCTGAATCAAGGATTCTATTCAATTTGCATTTAGTTGATACTTTTCTTTAACCTCTTTCAGTCTTGAATAGTTCTTCAGTCTTTCCTCACCTTTCATGACCCTGACGCTTTTTAAGAGTACTGATCAATATAGATACTGTCACATGTACCTCACTTTGAGTTTGTCTGATGTCTTCTCATGATTGGAATGAGTGTATGCTTTTTTGGCAAAAATACCACAGAAACAATGCTATGTCCTTATTACTATATCATATTATGAGCTTCATGATGCTGACATGAAGATATTAAGCTTGATCATTGTTTGAGGATGGTTTCTGCATTGTGAGGTTGCATATAAATATCTCCCCCAATCTTTTTGAACCAAACTTTTCTGTCCTTGGGGACCTAAGTCCCCAGCCTGCACCATGAGACACAGTCAGCATCCAGCCCAGGCCTGCCATTACCTGAGCGTGCCCATACGGTCCCCCGAAGCTAGATGCTGTCCGTTTGGGCTGATGCACACAGAACGGATGCCCACACGGGGGTCCATCAGGGACCCATCAGCTTTGTCTCCTCCAGGCAGCTCAGTGTCCAGCAGGGCCTGAGTGTTCCCATCCACATAGATGATCTTAATGAGGTCCTGGTGGAGCAGATGCAGAGAAGAAGTGGGTAAGGTAGGCCTGAGCCAATATAACTGCAAGGGAAGAGGATTGCTGGAAAAGATAAGCCTTTGGCTTAAGGGACCAGTCCAATCAGAGCTGGAAGATCAAGGTCTGGGGCCCCTTTCCCGAGAAGGCATGAAGGCTGAGGGGTACAGAGCGGGGCCCTGAGGCCGCAGGGCTCACATGGCTGAGGATATTGCGGTGCAGGGTGGAGCCATGCACGCCGGAGCTCTCGGTGTTCCACAGGCGGATGGTGTTGTCTGAGGAACAGGTGATGAAGGAACTGGGGGGGAGGCAGGCTTGGTTGCTGTCCTTCACTTCTGGGTAGACCTGAAGGGGCAGAGGGAACCAAGTCAGATCTCCAGGTAGGGAGCAGTCCTTCGCCCAAGGAAAAAGGGAATGAGATTGAAGGGATATTCTCATTGGCAATGACTTAGCCTAGTGTCTGTCACATAGTAAGCAAGCCATAATTATTAGATGTTCTTCATAATCACTAAGGGAAAGCACGTTAGCCAAGCACCTACTATATACCAGGGACTCTTCTAAGTCTCCTACTTAACATTATTTCATTTACTTCTTAAAACAATTAGGTGAATCAGGTACATCACTTTACAGTAGAGGAAACTGAAGTTCGGTCAAGTTCATTAATTTGTCCAAAATCACTGGGCCTCAGATAAGGCAAAGCTAAGAATGGACAGGGCCACATTGGAAGAAACCTAAGATATAGAAGCATAAAATTCAAGCTCAATCATCAGGACCATCTGAAGACAGGTGGAGATACAGGGATGTTGCTAGAGAAACAAGGAGGCAGCGGGAACATAACATTATACTTGGGGATCCCACTTTCCGTCTTCACAACGGCATCCCAGCCCACGTACCTCTACACTCCAGACGCAGGAGGAATGATACAGAGCCGAGTACACCTTGCCCACTTTCTTGGGGTCCCTCACATCCCAGACATAAATGCTGTGGTCGTTGTATACACAAGACAGCCACTGATTGGTGGGATCAAAGGTCAAGGCAATGGTGTCTGGATACCTGGCATTGGCTGCTCCAGAGAAGAGGCGACTGTGGGGAAGAAGGTAAGCAAACTGGTGAATGCGGAGCTGATAAAATGGAGGACTGAAAGGAGTGAGAACAGAAACTAACCCACGAAGGAAGGTGCAGGGCATGGGAGCCCTCTCCAGACACGCAGGTTTGAAAGCAGTTGCCTAAGAAAGACCTGACGGCCGTCAGCTGGGAGCTGACCTGGCACTAGCCGCTGGGCCGTGGTGTTCTCCTGATGAACACAATGTCACAGAACACCAGCGTCACACAGGGTCACTCTATGGCCATGGCAGAGCAAAATGAAACAAGACTACTGCTATTGTGTCTGACAGAGATAAAAACAAGATCACTGAGCAGACCACAAAAATAATCAAATACCACCCTTTCCTGTCTGTCAGGATTGACTGCTGCTGCTTTACCAATTACAGCTTTAGTTCCACTTCTTAAGGTAAAAATTATTAGGATGATAATTACAGAATTGCCCCCACTTTCTGACAGCATCCAACAGAGCAAAATTTAAATCACTCCACCTTTCTAAAATCACCTCACATAAATATCTCGAATCTTACAATACCCCTACACTTAAAATAGCCCCCACTTACTGAGATACTCCCCATTTCTCCCTGGTTGCAACAAGTACCAATAAAGCCAAATTTGTTTGTCTACAGAGGTATTCTGGTTATCGTAGGGGCACTGATACTCTTCACCTGTTCCCTAAAGGCAGAGCACAGCATGAGGCTGTGAACGGACGCAGGGGGCCCACATAGCTCACCTGGCCTCAGTGACACTGGCAATGTCTGTCCCCAAGGCATGGGGCCGGGGCAGGGTGCTGAGAAAGTGCAGGTTAGAGGGGTTGAAGAGGCGCACGGTGCCATCAGCACAGCCACAGAAGATGTAGTCTTGGCTCACAGAGATGCAGTAGGCCACGGTGGTCTGCAGGCAGAGGGGCTCAGGTCAGTAGAGGCCACCTGCCAACCCCTCCTCCACAATCACCTGCCAAGGGGAGAGACCAGCCAAGGCAGCGGCCCAGCTGCTCTGGCCTGAGCCCATCAACTGTTATCCAGAGGTGCCCCTCCCGCCAGCAGCAGGTGGCCAGAGGGCCCACAGCCATGAGCCTTTTGGGGGATGGGAGTCAGGGACCCTCCTAAGGTATTAAGAGATTTTGGCAAAGAAAACAAAGCAGGAAAAGCCCAGCAAAGAGAAAGAAATAGCACGAGAAGGACAGGAGAGTCTAGGGATCACTTACTGCGAAGCTGTCTGTGTTCTGAGCACAAGAGGAAAGCAGGGAAAGACAGACAGAGAGAGCAGAGAGGAGGCAGTTATACAGATCTCCATGGGCTGAAACTGGGCCGAGCTTCTCTCTCCTGGGGTCCCCTCCTGCATGCAAAGGGGCTCAGCCCCTGGTATAAGCCACAGGTATCAATTCTCACCTGAGCCATTACATGCACAGCCCCAACCAGCTGGGCCAGGGGTACTCACTCTCAGCTCCACCCACTTATCCAGAAGCCTCCGGTCACTGAACTCGCACAGCAGTCCTGAGGATGTGATGCAGAAGGTACTGTCTGCTTTCTTCCCTCGGCCACAGGCCACATCAGTGAACAGGTTGTTCCGTAGCTCCCCCAGCAGCCCTGAGCGGCCCAGCAGGGGCACAGTGGCATTGACCTGTGGAGACATCACTGTTGCCCACCCATCTACCCCAGAGCCCGCCCCCAGAAACTAGGCCCCCTTGCTCTTTGAGACTACCCCGCGGTCCTGAGAGGATCTGGCTCCTCCAGAACTTCTGTGCAGCTGCTGAGCAAATAGCAAAGGGCCCAAATGAGCAGGCCCTGACCCTGCTGGCTATTTCCAGCCTCAGCATCTCACCTTTGAGGTCTTACTGTCATCAAGGTACCAGAATTTGATGTGTCGGTTCCCTGCAGTGACAAAGTAGCTGCAATCTTCAGAGAAGGACACGGCTGTCACCCGACTGGACACCTTATTGGAGGCCACCACAATGTTTTTCTGAAGGGAAAGCCAAAGGGAGAATCAAGATTCTAATTCTTTGAGCTTTGGAAAAAAAAAAAAAAAAAAAAGACCTTTCTTTTCATGATTTATTGGTCTGAAAAAAAGGGAGGGAGAGATGAAGAATCCCTTTTCAGAGGAGTTGAAGAGATTAATTTCCTATGTAAGTCCTAAAAGGCATGAAGCTAACCCCTTTCTACCAACACGTTGGCTATAGTTGCTATTTTCTGATTCAGATCATTTTCTAGAATGAGATGAGATTAGCAGAGTAGAGTGAAGGGACTCAGGTCAGTATCTTCCAGGATCCCCAACTGGCCCTTGGACCCTCATGAGGCTGCCAGCCCAGCCCACTCACCTTCCAGGCCCAGACGTTGACGATCATGTCGTGTTGGTAGCCCACGGAGACAATGTACTTGGCGCTAGGGGAAAAGGCCACGCAAGCCACACCATACTTATGCTCTTGCAGCTCTGCCACCTGGCTACGCTCAGCCACGTCCCAAACCCGCACTGCTGGCATGTGCCCACTCTGCAGGGAGGAAGAACTGGAAGTGAGGGCCAGAAGCATAGAGACCCCACTAACCTTTCAAAGTGGGGGGCCTCGCCTCCTCAGCTACTGGATACAATCTCTCTAATGACCTTCTGCCAAGAGTCAAGAGCAGAGTGCTATACAAGGCAAAGGCAGAGAGGAAACAACAAATGTCTCAGGACAACAGTAAGTATCAGGGAGAAAATGGCCCCCGATTATGTTAAATATCTCCAGGTGAAGGTCTACATCTCTCTTTTTTTGTTCAAAGCTCCTTGAGTGATTCTATGGGCAGCCAGGGTTGAGAACTACTACTATTCATGCCTATTTCCGCCCCACTACCTCTGCGGAAAGAGGTATTCCTCATGTGCCCAGCAGGGGCCGCTGGGGATAAGGAATATTTTAAGGCAGTGGTTTTGAAAGTGCTTCCCAAACCAGCAGGATCAGCATGTGGGAACTTGTTAGAAATACAAATTTTGGAGCCTCATCCAAATCTTACAGAATCAAAAACTGGGGTTAGCCCTACTACTGTGCACTTTAACAAGCCCCCCAGGTGATTCGGATCCACTCTGAAGCTTAAGAACCACTGTTTTAAGGTGTAGCAAACACCAGCATTTGGCTTCTGTTTTGGAAGCCAAAGTTGCAGCAGCCCTAACCAGGCCTAGAATTGTAGCTCTCAGCTGAGGGCAGACCACCCACCCTCTTCAGGGAACTGTAGCTCCTTCTCCTCACTCACCTCTCCAGTGACCAAGTACTTGCCATCAGGGGAGAAGGCAAGAGCAGTGATGGTTTTCCTGCAAGAGATGAGGCAGGCTCAGAGGGCCACTGGCAGCCTGGCCTAAGCCTTGCTCCCTCACAGTTCCCTCAAAAGGCAAGACCGGTAGCCATCAATGGCACATGTGGCATTCCCCTCTTTGGCCTTGGGGCCCAAACAGGTCCACAGGAAGAGGGATTGCTCTCTGAGGGCCCAGACCACTTACCTGGAACTGTTGAGGATGTGGTGCTGTTTGTGTTTCCGGGGGTTGAACAGCACGACCACACACCTGGGGAGAGGAGTTAGACAACAGACTTAGCACCAAACCACAGCTCCCCAAGGAGCTCCGGGGCCACCTGGGGGTTCCAGTCACCCAGCAGAGAGGCTCTGCTTGCCACTAAGGGTAAGGGACTGCTTTCTTCTGCAATCTGTTCTTGCTTCCTTTCCTTGCCCACAGGGTCTATCTCTGCAGCCCCATGAGGGTGAAAGGGGTCCCTAAACACCAGCGCCATCTCTAGCCATATTCAGAAAGGGCAGCTGGGACACAGACCTTCCCACAGTCCTCACACACAGCCCAGGAAGGGGTACACGAAGTAAGAGTACATGATTTGGGCAATACAAGCCATAGTGTATAGCTGGTTCACAGACTTGGATACACACGTGTCAAGCATTTGTGCGCCAAAGAGAGGTGAGGCCTCCCACATGTACACCTACATGTGTACTGTGCAGGACTGTGCCCACTCCACTCCCCCCCCCCCCCACACACAAAACACAACATATCAGATGAGGAAGGGAGTGAGAGGCCAAAATTGTAAAAAGGAATAAAGAGGACAACTCATTATCACACCCGTGGGAACAACAATGCAGATGTTGAAGTGAGGGCAGAACTTGGCAAAGACATCCAAAGTTCCCCCTGTGCCCAGCTTGTTGAGATCCTCTCAAGAGAACAGACCTCAAAAGCACTGACATAGGCCCTGGCCAGTGTGGCTCAGTGTTCAGAGTGTCAGCCCATGCACCAAAGGATCTCGGTTTAATTCCTAGTCTAGGGCACATACCTGGGTTACAGGTTCCCAGCCCTGGTGTGTGTGTGTGTGTGTGTGTGTGTGTGTGTGTGTGTGTGTGTGTAGACGTGTATGAATGTGCACTCGAGCTAAAGGTGAAGGGATTAAGAAGTACAGATTGGTTTTTACAGAGTAGTCATAGGGATATAAAGTACAGCATAAGGAATCTAGTAAATAATATTGTAATAACTATGTATGGTATAAAATGAGTATATGATGTTTAATTACTGGGATGTACATCTGAAACTAATATAACAAGGTCTGTCTACTATAATTGAAAAAAATAGAAGGAAATGCTAAATGTTAATGAAAATAAAGATGTAATTCTTTTTTCTCAAAAAACAAAACAAACAAAAAAAAAACAACACGAAAAATAGCCCTGGCTGGGGGCTCAGCTGATTGGAGCATCATCCCATACACCAAAGGGTTGCAGGTTTGATTACAAGTCAGGGCACATACTTGTGGGTTTGATCCCCAGTTGGGGTGTGTACAGGAGCCAACCGATTAATGCTTCTCACATTGATGTTTCTCTCTCTCAAAAACAATTTTTTAAAAAGCCATATTCTCGGGTGAGGATAAAAATAAACAAATAAATGGAACTTCTCCCGACATGGCATTCTGAAAGGGAAGCAGGAGACGGCAGTTGGTATAAAAAGAAAAGGGAGAGCCCTAGCTGGTTTGGCTCAGTGGACGGACAGTGTGTTGGCCTGCAGACTGAAGGGTCCTGGATTCGATTCCAGTCAAGGGCACATGCTGGGCTACAGGCTCAGCCCTCAGTGGGGGCATGCAGGAGACAGCCAACCAATGGTTTTCTCTCATTGATGTTTTTCCCTCTCCCTTCCTCTCTGAATCAATAAAAATACATTTAAAAAGAAAAAGGGAAAGGAGTGAGGAGTGAGGAAAGGAGAACAAGGAGAGATTAGGAGATGGGGAGAGAAGGTTGAAGGGTGTGGTTATGGAAAGCTGTGTTTCTCTCTCTCTTCTTCCTTCTCCCCTCTCCCTATCTCTCTCCCTGCCACTTTCTCTAAAACAAGCAAAAAAAAAATCAATGGAAAAAATATCCTTGGGTGAGGATTAACAACAACAAAACACTGTGTAGGTGTCTTCTCAGTCTTCTTTAACCTTTGAGCAAGCTCCTCAGTCTGCCAGGGAGAGAGGGTGGGGCTCAGTTTGCATGATATTTGGCCCTTGGACTCCTAGTCCTTAGACCAAACCCAACACAGCAGGAGTCATCTTCACGGGCCCTGGCAGCAGTGCTGGCTGAAATCCTCAACACGACAGGGCTGGGCTGGCCCAACCAGCTGAGTCCTCTAATTCAGAACCCCAGGGTGCAGGTGCGGGAAGACTGCTCACTCCCAAGGAAGACAGTAAGGCCTCAGTCCCTCAGGCCTCAGCCGGGAGTCACACGGAGCACCAATACCAGGTGCTGGGCTCTCTGCCCAGGAACTTCTCTGAATCAGAAAAAGCCAACCCTCAACAACCCCCTCCCCTGGACAGGTCCAGGCCTGCTGCCATCACAAAGAGCCCAGCATTCTCACACGATCTGCCTCCTACCACTCTCCATCATCCAGAAGGCAGAAACAAATAAATCCTGAGACAAGCAATGAATACAGGGAGCAAGACACAGAAAGTTTGAACAGAGATCCTGTGCTTTATAATTTGTTTCAGAACAAGTAAAATCAGGTGACTCTCACACACAAAGGTCCTTCAAGCCTTGCTTAAATGTCACTCTCTGGCCTTATTTAACATTACAACTTCACAGCCCCCGTAGTCCCTATTCCTTTTCAAAGTTCATTGCTTATACTTTTTCCATAACACACATCAATACTCTACACAGTTAACTTCATCAGTAGATTGCCAGCTCTGCGAAGGTGATATTTATCTGTTTTATTTACTGTTACTCCCACAGGGCCTACAGGATAGGCACTCAATAAATATTTCTGAATGAATGAATAAATATTTATGCTTCTACTAGTAGCTACCAACTCTCAGAGCCCCGACTGCCAAGGAGCCTCCTAAGAAGCAGACCTGTGAGCTAGGGACCTAAGGCTGGTCCATGATTCTCCCCATCTCAGGCTTTTAGGACACGCTGATGGTTGAGGGCAATGTGATGATGGAAACAAGAAAACTGTGGTCAGAAAGACCTGTCTGCTAGCAGACTGTGTGATCTTGAGCATATTCCTTAACTTCTCTGAACCTCAATTTCCTCATCTGTAAAACAGAAATAATATCTACCTCAAAGAATTGTTGGGAGACTGAAGATGATCATGTGCGAAGATGAGCATGGTGCTCCTAGCCATGAAGATACTCTGGTGCCCAAGTACAAGACAGGGCTATCCAGGGAGTCTGCAGGCACCCCAACTGTAGCATCCCATTTGGACTTGCTCCAAACCAGTGACTCATTAGGCCCTCATCAAGGTGTGCAATTACAAACTGTCCCTCCAGATTCACCCCCCAAAGGGGAAATCTTATAGCTTTAATTATTCCCAGAGATAATGAGTCTAGGATGTTTCCTAGTGCATCCTTGGTGTGGCCCTCTTTAGATATCTAATCTGGACTCCAAAGCTTTCCGAATAAGTAACCCTCTTGGGCCAGGCCGGGAGACCCACGACATCTGTTTCTGAACTTTATGACCCCACCCCCAACCCACCACCACCATGAGAAAAGGCTTAGTAATGTAAATGTAAAAACATTCAAGCCTGTAAAAAAAAAATTGGTGAGTTTATTTGAGCCAAACTGTCGACAATTGCCAGGAAGCAAAATCTCAACCGATTGGGATAATGCTCCTGAGAACAGTAGTTTTTCACCTTGTTTTATAGATTACATTCAAAGTAAGAGACATAAATAGGTTACATGAAATCCATTGGTGATAGATTAGGGAGGCAGGAGAAAGCAAAGCTTGGGGGTAGGGGGAACCTCTGGGATTGGATAAAAAGAAAAATGATAGACACAAACTTCTTTTACTTGGGTGGGAAAAGGCTAGTTAACAGTCATCAATTAGCATAACAATAACAACGAAGGGCCAGACCGGTTTGGCTCAATGAATAGAGCTTCAGCTTGGGGACTGAAGGGACTCTGGTTCGATTCCGGTCAAGGGCATGTACCTTGGTTGCGGGCATATCCCCAGTAGGGGTTGTGCAAGAGGCAGCTGATCGATGACTCTCTCTCATCGATGTTTCTAGCTTTCTATCTCTCTCCCTTCCTCTCTGTACAAAATCAATAAAATATATTTTTTTAAAAAAAACAATGAAGGCATTTGTGCTCTCCATCCAGACACCCAGGCACATTTGGTTTGCCCCAGGGGTCCAGGGTCTGGAAGAAGGGAAGTTACAAGTTACTCTGACATTTCACAGATATGCTATTTTAGATGCAAAAAGACAATAGGCTCAGTTAAGGTAAAGATTGACTGTGTCGAGAAGATACCAGCCTAGGACATGATTACCTATCATAGCTTAGCATGTGGCCCCTTTTATCCACAATAATAATCCAGTAAATAACATGGCCACCAGTAAAGAGCTACCATTACGCCTTTCTGTGGACTCTAAACATATTTTCTTCCAGAACAAGAGGTGAATCTCTGTGAGCTTCAAGACTTACAAGCCAAGTCAAAGTGGCAGTGTCTGAGCTTCCTTCTCTCAGTCATTATGGTCTAACCACCATGCTACCTAGCCCCTCAAACAAGTGAACGTATTCCTCCTTTCCTTGGGAACTTTGCACTTGAGGTTTCCTCCACTTGGAACACTTGGGCGTCGAACTTCACATGTTGATTCTTCCATCACCCAGTTTTATTTTCTTGGAACATTCATCACTCTCTAATATTATCTTGCTCATTTGTCTCCTAGAGGCCCAGTGCACAAATTTGTGCATGGGTGGGATCTCTTGGCCTGGTTGGGATTGTCTTGCCTAGCCCTGATCAGGGCCAGCTGGCAGGGGGGTGGGGGGCGGTGAAGGGATGGCAGAAAGTTGGCTGTGGGAGCGCACTGACCACCAAGGGACAGCTCTTGCATTGAGCATCTGCCCCCCTGGTGGTCAGTGAACATCATAGCGACTGGTCAGTTGTAATGGTCACTTAGGCTTTTATATATACTGTGTTTCCCTGAAAATAAGACATCCTCTGAAAATAAGACCTACTTACAGGTTTCCTTCTGAGTGAAATATAAGGCATCCCCCCGAAAATAAGGCCCCCCCTAGGCTAAACATGAGAGATTTGGTCCACTGATTCTGAAAG